AAGATTTAACAATATATACATTCTCATCCTACATTGTATTTGATAAAAGCAGTAGTCCACTCAAAATTGTTTCATGCGTACTTAGTACTGTTTGTGATGTGAATTCATTAAGTGAAAGTGAAATGTTTTCTACCTCTTAGATTTCATCCCGAATCCACGCAACATTAATTGAAACGAAGTCACTGTTGATTTGACCAATGATTGTGTTTTTTTGCAAAGTCATACCACTAAAGGCTTTACTTTTCAATCCAAAAAATTCAAAAGCAATATGCAAGTAGATCTTTTGGCAGAATTACAAAAAAGGATGAAACCTTGTATGATTCAAACCATCACTGACGTTTGCACACATTGTAATAGTGTGTTCTTTCAATAGTTTATATAACGTAAGAAGAGTGGTACAAAATAGCATCGAGTCAGTGAATAACGGCTTATTTCCCCGTCAATTTTTGCCTTAGTTACGACTCATTATTGTACATTATATCATTTGTTATAGTTATTTCTACATAATTTATGGCAGACGCGTTTCATCAGACGTAAAAGTTGTTACTTTATCTAGGAATTTCGTCCGGTGATATAACAGAAGAGATCTTGCGACTGTAAGATCATAAAAAGGCCGTATCAAAAGCACTAAATTAATGTACAATAGAACAGCAAACAATAATTCCACGTGGGATAGTTTTGAACATATAAAATTTCTTAGATCTGCTTCGATATATTATTTCTTTTTTTGCATTTTTGGTACCATCATTCGAATTTCTTTTCTGGTAAATTAGCTGAAAACTGAAGATCATTGATTTTCAATAAAAGCGAAATAATTTTAGGCTACCAACAATCTTCTTTGCTTAAATATGTGTTACCTCCTCGTAGTGATGTAACTGACGTCTTGTAATCGGCTTTTGATTATATACTTTTTTTCACGCATGATATAAAAGTTTATAATTTAGTTTGAGGTATTTTCGTAAATCTGTTAGTATTTCGTGCTACAAAACGGTTTAACTTATAATTTACTTCGCAGTATTTTGTGTCGTATGCCATATGGTTCTAGATCCATCACAATCGAAGTGGTGGTTCTGTTACATCTATCTTTCAATGGGAATTTGACGAAAATTTAATGAAATTTCAACCTACTGGCGATTTCGCAATTTATTTGTTAAAAATTCTACTTTAGGTTAGGTCACATCTGAGTGTATGACTGAACTGCAACTAATTTCTTTAAATGGTTTGATTTAGCTAATGAACAAATTGCATACAACCACTGCATTTTCTACACTTTTTCTTTCAGGTACTTCACTAATAACATAACCTATGCATTTATTCATATTACATTCATTTTCCATGTTTGAAAAAACGGTATTAGTGATGTCATTAGGCATGGAATAAAATGGAGAAATTGACCTACTTAGAATATGCTTGTAAGTTACTTCACTGTCTTCTTTTTCAATATGTTTGCGTAATAGAAGTAAACAATTCATCATTCATAGGTTGGTACTGTTGAGATTCTATGAAAAATCTGATCTGATGAACGCCCGCTCTGTTACTAATGTTTTCGGAAGTTTCCAGAGTTTGACAATTTTCAAAAAACCTATAAACACCGTACTTAAACGAGCCTTAAGTTAGGCTTTCATTTGCACCTTTTCTTCACTATTTGAGTTCACGTCTGGGCGTATTCATAGAACCTAGGAAGTGGCTAGGATGTTAGTATCTAACGTGCGAGTAGAAGAGATAAAGAGCTCATAGATATTCAATACTTGACAGTGCCGTTTTCCTATTATATTTAGAATCAAGGAAACCAAAGCAAATAAAATCAGAGGTCGGCAAAGAAAGTGGTCGGATATACATTAGAAAAATATTTGATGTGTCGAGAATTCGATCTAAGGCAATAAGCTATTGCGAGCTGTTTCACATGTCGTACCTGATTGTGATCTGGTGTGGATGATTGACTGGGCGCCTTCTGCTACCGTGTCTTTAGTAAAACTAATCGGGTCAACATCCATGTCCACGACTTACAGAACTATTTATTTTCTAGTTTTATTTGCCACTACAATAATGTCAACCATGTACTTTAAACTTAGTTAACGCGACCGCCTTAGATTGTTCACACCAAATATTAGGATTTAACTTAGTCTCAAGAACAACTAATTGTTTAAGGTAGAGAAAGGTCATAAACTAGCCAGAAAAGCCGTGAATTTGCTTGGTTATCTGTCATTGTTGGCTGATACCAGTTGATTAACATCGATTGGCAATGATAGAGGACATGGCTGTCAGTTTGACTCTATTTGGAACCAATCGGTAGTGCACAGTCACAGTCCCATTAGTTTTTCAACCTGATTTCTGCAACCCGAGTTGAGCATGTTCACTTAAGACCAAAAAGTAAAAACCCAATAGTCTACTCGTACAATTTTAATTAATGTGTGAGAAAACACAACCATCATTCAGTATCACGAATAAGACTGTCCGGCTTTCTGATAGGCTAAAGCATCTATATACTTTAAGTTCGCATGATGAGTGAGATGCTGATGGGTGCACAAAAGTAGTTAAGATTAAAATGCATTTTTGAGTAGACAGATACACCATAGTGGTTGTGTTAGATCCATACTAAGGTTTGGACTGAAGAATAGCTTTCTAGGTGGGCTAGATACTCGCCCTTGCCCGGTCGAAACCAAAATAAAGTGATTGGGTAAAATGACGGTTCGGAAATTCATCATAAATTTAAATGTTGATTGTTACCTAAACAAATATCCAACCAATAATTGTTCAATTAATGAAATTATGTTTCGAATTATCTGAATTGTAGTATGAACTAAGAATCCTCGAAACAACGTAATTGAATCAAGAAGTACTAGATGAGCACAAACGAATGTATTGTATTTAGAATTCAAAATGAAGCATTCCACAAGTACAAAAGAATCATTAGTTAATTAAAACACCACATCCGCCACAGCTTAAACTGGAATATAATTGTCTGTAATAGATTGTACGTCTTCTTCTTAAGTTCATCTGGAGTCTGTCCGACATTGTATTGGATAAAAACTATGTATTATCTAGAATACACTCATTAGTATTAGAATTAACAACTAAAATCGGAACAGACTCACCTGGGTCCTGAAATTGTATACAATCACTATGTCGATTTTGTAATGAAATCATTGATATCTAGAATTAGAACCATAGATTTTTCAACACTGTCCTCCACCACGAAATAATGTTGGACCTTTATATCCCCAAGTTATGAATAAAGTGGCTTCATTTAAAACATATTTCTCACATTGATTAGAGTAAACATTAGAAGGATGAACAGCAGGAGATATGAAATCATCCGAATTGCAATCTATATCGAGCTCATTTAATACTTGTGCTTCGCATTGAACAAGTTTCCCACAAGAAACAAATGCAATATGAGGACAAATAATATTTAATATGACATCAAGCTTTGAATTTTCTGTAATAGTTTCATCGGATTTATTAGGAATGTCATCGCAGAGTAAAGGATCATTAGAAAAATCAGCACCCATTAAAACTACATCAGGTTTTTGATCATAATTATGTTCACTCAACATATTTTCTTCAGATTTGCAAGGAATTTCATCAGAAATATGTGGAGCATTAGGAAAAGCCATACCTGGCACAATAACATGAGAATTCTGACAAATTGATTGATTAGAAACCGTTGTCTCACAAGGATTCTGAGTTTCATTTAACTCCGAACTGCTATATGACTTTACACTGTCTTTTAAAATCGTTGATAAAGATAAATCATCATTATGAATACTCGACTCAGTAGAATCAGAATTACAAGACTTAATATTTGTTGCAGTAAGATGAACATTTGTATTACAGACTGACTGAATGTGTCTGTTAAGTCTATCGAAGCGTCCAAGTCACCTGACTGAGATACGCGCAAAACCGAAGTTTCCGAAACAGCGATTTGTCTACAGTAGCGGTTCTTTTTTAAATAATACACTGAGGAAGATACAGGTAACATAAAGAATAATTATAACATACGATGGTACAAAGGACAGCTGATAGCTGTGTCTAAATTTGATAACACTTTACGAACAACCAAAACCCGAATCAAGAGCAAACAATATGGAAACTGTTGCGTTTAAACAAATGCACAGAACTGTGGATAACGGCTGCAGCGATTAAGATACAGTAATTATAATGATAAGTACAATAAACGTTATAAGTATATATGAACATTTCAGGATATTACAGTACAACTTGCGTTACAACATGTGTGTGAAAGTTGTTGAGAATACAACTGCTTACTGAATGTAAATAAGTAGTATAAGACAATATACAAAAGAGTAGAAAAGGAACTAGTAGGAACAATGTAAGAAACTTAACAATGTCCGATTTCACCACATTTAAAGCACTTAGAATTACGAAATTTACATGAAACAAAAAAGTGTAACTTACCACAGGACAAACACTGACCAAACTTGTGCTCATCTTCGTGAAATGCATTGCAACTCCTCAATAAATTATCTGCATAACGTTGAGTATGCACTTGGTTAAGATGACGTAGTAATGTAGTGGAATTTTTTTATATCCTCATGAATCACTCTACAAAATCTTCTTTTATTGTGTTCGAAATAGTAGAATAACCTTGATTGCATCAATTATATTCCAATGCTATGAAACATTTTTTTTTCAACAAATGTGACATATGTTTTCCGAGTGGTTTAATTCACCTAACAACCACCAAGTGAAAAGTAATGTTACACTGGTTCTAGCTTGTTATTTCCATTATAAATTTGTTTTATAGCACAAATCTTATTTATTTTTGAAAGGTACCCCACAAGATAACAAAGCAAGTAATTGATTGAAATTAATAGATTCAACACTATCTAATTATTATTATTATTATCATCATCATCTTCACGATCAATAATCCTGTTGTCTTGTAATATAATCCTTTTATTTACATAAAATGTTTGCTTGGTATTCCAAATTCGACATAATTAGGTTAAATACACGTGTGTATACAAAAAAACCCCGGTTGAAATAAGATCATTTTAACATTAGAAAAATTTTATTATAGCAGACAGGTTATTAACTTTAAAGAAGATAATTCTTGAAAATCAACGTTGTCTTTGTTGTTGTTGTTGTTTTTGTTGGTAAGTTCGTTGCAAAATATTTTAAACACATGAACCTGATATTCGTATTACATCATCATAAATGTAGGAATTGTTACTTGAAATAATGAACTTACTTACTTACTTACTTACGCCTATTACTCCTAATGAAGAATAGGCCACCGACCAGCATTCTCCAACCCACTCTGTCCTGGGTCTTCCTTTCTAGTTTCATCCAATTTTCGTTCACGTCTTTATTTTTCGGAGAAGGATGAACAACAATTGGATAGAACCAGAAACGAATGCCCAGGACAGAGTGGGTTGGGGAATGCTGGTCGGCGGCCTATTCTCCATTATGAGTAATGGGCGTAAGTAAGTAAGTAAGTTCATCATATTAACTCGCTAAAAAACGCTAACCAGAATTTTTTTTATTAAAAATCAACTTATAGTTTGATATTTAAGTTTTTTATGTTATATCTAATCGCTAACTCATAAAGTTAATTATATGAATGATCTGGTCTTAGATATAAGTTGGTTTTACAAAAAAATAAAGTAGAAAATCACCAGTTTTCTGTTAGTTTTTCTTTTCATGTTTAAACTATAAATAATGAACGAGTTTAAAACGACCGCGACAAAGTTACGGTATGTTTTCATTTAATTAGAATTGATAGGTCCTGAGTTCGGATCTCGCGGGGGATGGGATCATGTATGCGCGCTGCTGAGGAGCTCCATGATAGGACGAAACGGTCGTCCAGTTCTTCTAGGTTTCCCATGATGATCGTCTAGCTTCAATTGACTCATGATTTCAACTATTGATATCATCTTACAAAATGCATACATATTTTACTTAATAGATCTATTGACTGTTTCAATAGGTTACTTCAACTGTAAATTAGAAAAAAATCATAACAAATGAACCTCTTCAAACTTAAGTACGTGTTTAAGAGTACCTGTATTATTCTTGATTGAAGTTAAAATCAAAGAATAAAAGTTTAAGTTTTCATCACAAAATGACTACAACTATAACAAACAAAAAAGTGCTCTGTATCCATATAGACGACTTAATTTTGTATAAAACTTCATAAGGTAGTAGTTGATTAGTTTACTCATGAAATATAATGCAAATAGATTATATCTTATTTCTGGATAAAAGTTTCAGGGATAGGATTGTCTAGTTTTGCTTATCATGAATAATCTACAGAGAAACATTAAAGTTACTGGTTAATTTAACATTATCAAAGAAATAGATTTTTTGGTTCTTTTCAGTCTATTGAATATTAAAACAAAAATATTTCTACTGCTCATTATACATGATATTTGAATGCTGAGCAAAAACTGACGCTGTTTGTTGTGTACTTAGGTTATACTTTTACCTATTCTGTACTGAAATTGAATGTGTCCGTAGATTTTGGCATTGTTATCCAGTATATATTTTGTAAGTAGATCTTTTCCTATGGTTTAGTGCATCTTTATTTTTTCAAGGTAATCACGTAATAACCATTTAACTTCTTCATTGAGAAAAAAAATCCACATTTTTTATGACGGACAAACAGACAAATTTGTAGGTTGTTAGCATGGTGATGAATCTACTTATTATTTGATTCTTTAAACAAACATTTTAGCCATAAGTAGTACCCTAAATACAAGATTTATATGTCATTACATAAATTATTTACTTAAATCATTATTGTGAGCTGAAATAATTTGAAGAAACATTGTTCACATTGGAGCATTAGATAAATGTCTCCACAATAAAGCCAGTGACTAAAATTAATAGAGTTCATTTCACTTTAGAAGTGAGATAATTGCTACCCTTAGTAGTCATGGGAATATACTAGTTTGCATGAGGTTGGAAATGTAGAGTAAGAAATCCACTACAAGTCGTAATTTCCGTCTTTACTTCATGGAACGTTTTAATCTGAAACGTAGTGTGACATTAATAATACATAGGATATGGTAAAATAAGTTTCATAATGAATGAAAGTCAACTAAGCAACTCCAAATCTAATAAAAATCTGTTTCTAAGTAAATTACTTGATATTCACTAAGATTATGTTGTCAGGCAGCTGTTAGTTTGAATTACTTTTAAATTATTTCTGCTTAGTCAAATAATATGATAGAATGGTTTGAGTAAATTGAGGTGGTCAATAAGATGTATTTGACATAGTGATTTTAATTACTGATACACATGATCGTTTGATATTTGGAACCTTACAAAACACTGGTGTTGAAAATGTTATCATGAGCTGATTTTCCGAAACATGGATAGTGGCTAGCATTGGAATCCAGTTTGACTCGCGTTTTTTCTTATTTGTGATTCGTCAACTCTGAAATACAGGTACATCCAATTGACGAGTCGCATATAGGACGAGACGTGCGTCCTGGATTCCACTTCTAACAACCATTTATCTTTCCATTTGAATTCAAAGATTATTATCGGATTCTATTGTTAGTGTTTCCTCAGGATGGGTTAAAATATTAGTCTCATTCTTCTGAAGATAGACATATGACTTTTATACTAGAATAATTTATTTAGTTTTTTTTTCCACTTTGTTTGGTGTTTGTTCTAGACTTTGTTGACGATAGTGTTCATAAACGTTTTAAATTCAATATTTAGAGACAGTTTAAAGTAAATTGAGATATGTTCTTTTTATCAAATATCAAGTGGGAATTTTCACTCTGCTGAAATCTAGGTATCTGTTAGAAGCTATTGAAAGGAAATGCCAAATATCAGTTTCATATTAGTTAGCGCATGTTGGCAAAACGTATCTGAAATATTTTTAGGGGCTTGATAAATCGTACGGAGCTCTAAACCACTGACACAGTCATAGACATTTTTACTGAACTGTTCACTCAGAGACTGACTACGTTTAGGACAGGGATTTACATATATATACTGATGAATTACAAATTGATAACTGTTTTGATGTTCGTTCAGTCTATCATTAAACCTTCAGTTAATTGTGGCTTCCTGGTGATTTTCTCTAACGATTGAAAATTCAGATATAAAGTATGCCATATTGAGATACCAGTAAAAACATCCATATTGCAAACAAACTAACAGAATTTGACCAGCACAGATTGTAACAATCGGAAGCACTCGAGTTATGCAATATCAACCTGTAAGATCCAGTTTCATAGTTCATGTAGTAGGCTGATTGAAATAGTCAGAACACAGATATTAACTTGTGAAATGTAGTACTAATTTTAGATAGAGTAAGTATGAATGCATAAATTACATAATATTCATGGAAAGTTCTTAGAAATAATCTGTACTCTCATTTTACGTACTTCGAACCATATACAATCAAGCTGTAAAATATGAATCACAAAAATTGTTAAGAACTATAAAGTTAATTACTTGCCAAAGAATAATAAGCGTTTCCAATGAACAGAGATTGAACTCTCACCCTAAAGACGTAATTCAAATGATCCAATTAGAGAGAAGTAAGTCAACATAAAAGCAGCCCCAATCGAAGGTCAAGTTAAACAAAACTGATACCATCAAGTAATACGAATAAAAGAAACATAGTTGTAAGCAAATTTAAACACTAACGTTTTTTTAAATCAGAGAGTGAAGGTACGATAGAAAAGTGGATTGAATGAGAAGGATACCATCGTACTGAAGGATAAACACAATGTTAATATCATAGAACATCCATATAGGAGGGGATTTTCCCACTATCAGAAATGCACACACATACAACATATGTACAAAAAAAATCTTACTTCGAGAACTAGATATACATGGTGCTGTGGTGTGTTCTATTGGTGTAGATAGATATAAGTAGTATGTATCATCAGTCGAAAGTGAAATGTCCGGTGGTAGAAGATTAAGAAGATCAAATCAAAGAGAACGAGGACAAATAATGTTTGGTATGGAAATGAAAGAACAATCAAGTCCAAGACGACTGATTGACATTTGGCAAATGAGGTATTTACTGTATGGTTCTCTGATTTTATTAAGAAATTCTTTAATTTCGTATTCAAATATATTTGGTTGTTTCCAATAATGTTCTCGCTAACTAAAGTACCGCTTCTTTTCTATGCTAAATCAATTCATACACAAATGAGCTATGAAATTGTGATTTGTCTTATGTTCGACTAATCATTACACCACAATTAAATTTTTTAGTTGAGATCATGAACCGACTGATGTTAGATCACCATTGAAAACCTAGAAGCACTGGACGGCCGTCTCGGCCCTGGGTTTGAATCCCGCGAGCGGGGTCGTGGGTGCACAATGCTGAGGAGTTCCGCAATAATACGAAACGGCCGTCCAGTACTTCCAGGTTTTCAATGGTGATCTAACATCAGTCGGTTCATGATCTCAATCAAAAACTTAACAATCTCCACAACCCCCTAAACTAAAAATTAACTTTCCTAAATTTGGGAAGCTGAACACTAAATGTTGACATTGGAATTAAGTTATTTCCATGGGGTTTATGTTCTAATATTGTAATATATAATTCTAATATTTCATCATTACATTTGAGAAACTTTTTAAAATGTGTTTTATATTATTATTTTCAGAATTATCTATCACCATGTTCGTTGCAAAAAGTCATACATTATTATTCACTGTAAACTTTATTACATCAGTGAGTATCAATTGTTGTCATTGTTTTTTTAAAAACATTTTTGCAATTATCTTTCTAAAACATTTAAAACAAACTTACTTACTTATTTACGCTTGTTGCGCCTCGTGAAGGAGCATAGGCCGCTCATCAGATTTTCCGTCCAACCCTGTCCTGCGCAAGATTTTTGAGCTCTTTCTAGTTGTTATTCATTCTTTTCATATCTGCTTCTATTATCCAACGTAATGTGTTATTTGTCCTTCCGCATTTCTGTTTCCCTTCACGATTCCAAGTTATTCCTTGTCTCGTGATGCAGTTTGACGATTTACGTAATGTATGTCCTATCCATTTCCATCGTCTTTTCCTAATTTCTTCTTCAGCTGGAAGTTGGTTTGTTCTCACCCACAGTAGGCTGTAGCTGATGGTATCCGGCCAATGGATGTTGAGTATCTTGCGTAGACAGCTATTTATAAATACTTGTACCTTCTTGATGGTGGTTGTTGTAGTTCTCCAAGTTTCAGCTCCATACAGTAGAACTGCCTTGACGTTGGTATTGAAGATTCTCACTTTGATATTGGTTGAAAGTTGTTTTGAGTTCCATATGTTCTTTAACTGTAGGAATGCTGTCTTTGCTTTGTCAATCCTTGCCTTTACTTCTGCATCTGATCCTCCTTCTTCATCAATGATTGAACAATAAAAACCATCAAAACACATCTTTACAATTAAATGAACGATTTCAGATTTATTAGTTGAGATCATGAGTTAATTGAAGCTAGGCCATCATGGAAAACCTGAAAGCACTAAACGACCAATTCGTCTCATCGTGGGACTCCCCAGCAGTGCTCATCCGCGATCCTGCTCCCGCGGGATTTGAACTGAGGACCCATCTGTCTCACGAGCGAACGCTTAATTCTAGACCACTGAGCCGACATCCAACGATATTGATGTCTAACTTCAAGCAATCCATTTTTGTAAAAAATAAAAATTTATATTTATATGCAAACAAGCATTGTGTTTGTTAAACTCATTTCATACCATAAGGCTACATAGTAATACGGTCAAGTAACTCATGATTTCAATCAAAAACATAACAATCTTCATAACTTCATACTGATAATTACCATGTGCTCACTAGTGACTAGCTTTGTAGGGGAATTCTCGGAATTTTAATGAGAAACCGTGACCAATGGAGCTAATCCGTGTCAGGTAGAGATAAGTATCTACCTCAGTACAATGGAAGATGGTGGCGCAATTTTGTGGATTAACTGAGGTTAGACATTAAGACCACTGGAAGCCGGTTCAGTGGTTTAGAGGTTAAGCGTTCTCACACGAATCCTGAATGCGCATTATTGAGAAGTTCTATACTAGCACGAAACGATCATGTAGTACTTTCAGGTTTTCCGAGGTGATTTATCATCGATTGATTCATGATCTTAATATAGAATGAAATAAATTGAAGATTAGGTGTACTGATCGATAAGATGTAGAAAATAGCCTACATAGTAAATAATAAAATCATATAACTTTTATAATGCGTTTAGAATTTGAGTGAGTATTGAGATGAACATTTTTTTAAAAAAAATGTTTGTTTCTATGCTCGTTTGTCTAATGGTGTCTCTAAAATGTATACACATTGATTTGACTATGGTTTTCAAGTTATTTCAGTGATATATCTTGACAGATAAATGATGTGGGTTGTTTGTTTGAAGGTTTATATTGTCTACACCAAGTAAAATTACAGTGCTCGACAAGTAATTGTCTTGATTAAAGATTAACTATTAGATGTAATAAGAAAAGATATACTGATTGTATTAAGTTGGGTATTAGTGGGTTAACTATAGTTTACATTGTTAAATAATATTTTGTGTTGATAGTTCATTTAAGCTTTCGTTTCCAAATGAAATGAGTCAGTTTCATTATAAATATTACCCTAGAACTCTTCCATCTCTCATTGATCCAACTCTTATTTCATTCAAAGAAAACCCTATTTTCTTTATAAATCGTTCCTGTAACCAAAGTAAGTTCATTGGATACATCAGTTATGTAACAAAACTTGAAACCTTTCAAACTGATGAGAAAAAATTGTATGCAAACGAGATTTCCTTGTCGTTGATGTTAATTTCTCAAGACGTAGGTAATTTCTTACATATTGTAGTCCGTAGTAAAATAAAGGGAATTTCACGATATTATCAAAGATAGTCAGACTCAGTCAAGCATTAAATACGTATTCAAGTACATATTACATGCTAATTCATATTCATTGGTTATTGGAATCTTTTCATAGATATTTGAAGCTGCGAATGATCAGTCTCATTGAGCATTTGTGCGTGCTATTCAGATTGCCTTGATTTTTCCATCAATTAGCAAACATTTTAGGCAGAGATGGATGATGGCTAGCAGTAGAGATCAGAACATGCGTTTCCTCGTATTTCGTACTTGTCAGCTTAATGTACCTGCATCCCAAAGTTGATATCCACCCTGTAACTCGAACCCGGTATTATAAATTCGATTCCTGAACAAACTTGATTATATTTTGCAAAACTGTAGTACTTCACTATCTTAATAAAGACCAATAGTCATAAAAATCTATATGTACAGCTTAAGAAATTGCTAGGATCGAACAGAAAACATTCCTCACTGCAACGTCTTCATCCTCTTCAATGAGCGCCAGGATTCTTTCATTATACACAACGAAATTTGCAGGTCTTTCAATGAATATTCCGTCAAACGTACTTAATTACACTTGTTTCCTTCATGGAGGAGCATAGGCTACCCATCAGGACTGTTCATTAAACTATATTCTAGGCAATACATTTTTGTTGCTATTCATTCTTTTGATGTCTGCTTCTTATTCCCGACGCGATATATTCTTCGCTACTCCTCTTTTACTTTTGGCTTCAAGATTCCGCGTTAAGGCTTGCCTCGTGATGCAGTTTGTTGATATATCTATATATGTCTAACTGAAATAAAAATTAAAAATTAAAAGAAATTTTACATTAAGAAATAATCACGAATAACATAACTTAACAGGCGAGTCTATAATTCATGAACGAACTAACCAAGTATAAGATAAAATGTCTCGGATTTTGGCGCGACATTCACTCATCCATTTGGCTAAATTGAGTTTTGGCATTATAGCTGATGTTAGTTCGTGATGAAAACCCTAAACTTAGTTCCTAACCTAGCTGGTAAGTTAGGCCTCGAGGGGAAACCAAAAACGGTATCTTTAAAGACTCTTAGTAATAAATCACTATCGGTATCCAAAGAGGTGGATGTAGAGTTGCACTCGATAGACTTTTCGTCATCCGTTATGGACCAGAAAGTACTGACAGTCAAAAAATTACCGGCAGTTTACAAGACTGTGCCAACGGCACAACAAATGGTATCCTGGTCCTATTTAAAAGATATAAGTTTTCCGAGAGTAGAAGATGAGAATGTCAAACTGTTGATTGTGTGCAACGCACCGGGTGTACACGAGATGAAAGAGATAAGAACCGGAAGACGAACAAACCATCTGCTGTGAGGACTATATTGGGTTGAACACTGTTTGGCCCATATGGAGAACCCCATGAAATCAACCGTGTACTGAATTACCTCTCGGTTAAGGAGAAATTAGAGGATAAGTTTGAACAATTGTATTCAACTGAGTTCAAAGACCCACTTAGTCGTACTTCATCGATGTCTGTGGAAAATCGCATAGCATTATCAGAATCTGCATTTGGTATTGCGGACTATACTCGTTCCGAAAATGTCTCTCATCAAGTTCATTGTTCCTTTTTATCAACTAAGTTCAAGGTTGTTAAGCGAAAAACTGAAACACCATCTGCTAATAAACCCAAATCAACTCTAAGAAAGTCTAAGGAAAAGAAGGACACTAAACTGAAAGTCAAAACTACGAAAAGGCCGAAGGTCACTGTAACGAAAATGTCACTAACAAGACCCTGAAGAAGCAGGTAGCACATATTCACCATGGTATCGAGGATGGTTTATAACTCGCATTTGGTTTTAGTTATTCGGTGGACACTCTCAAGGTTACTTTAACGTCGCTCAATAGTCGTCCATAAATTATAATCTCACCACTTAGGTAAATAGTTTTATGCAAATATGAAGTAGCCGATCAGTGTTTTTTAAATTTTAACATCACCATGAACTATGTGGATCTTCAGAAGAGATTAACTAGGAAGTGATAATTAAAATCTTTTGATAAACAAATCCAAACTTTATAACAGTGTAACAATTCGATAACTTTGTACTAAAGGAATGAATTCACCATAAACAACTGACATTGTATCAGGGACAAGTTCATGATAATTTAATTTGATCATAAAAATTATATTTCAGGCAAATTATTTCAGCACATCACTGATTAGTTTATTTTATTGTTTTGCACTACAAGATTATTTGCATATTAATAATATCTGGATCTGGATTGTTTATGTTGTCAGAAGAAGCCAATTTTATGATATTACGTAAAATAATGAAATTATTTGTAAAACATGTTGTTCCACCAAGTTCAAATTATGGTAATGGTGTTGGAAAGTTGATTATGACAATTACACGTAAGTTGATTTATAATGAATAAAGTTTCTTTACAAACTATATTGATTCTAAACTGACGAGACTACAATTTATGGACGAAACAGTTAGATATAGAATAATGGGTCATGGATTTTGGCGTAAAATTCAACCATCCATTTCGTCAAATAGCGTTTTGGCTTTTTAACTGATGTTAGTTCATGATGAAAACCACAAATCGAAAAATCCTAACCCTTACCACCAACTGTAAATCATAATTCTTATTCTTCACACTGTTTTACAACACTGATATAGCTCTAGTAAGTAGGTGGACGTTCCCAAAGTCACTTCGGCGTCGCTCAAAGGTTGCCAACAAATTATAGTCTTAACTTTGAACTTCATTACAACTTGAGATCAGAAGAATATCCTTTCATATTTGTTACTTTTGGTGTAGTAAATAACAATATATATATATATATATATATCGAGTCATATGGTCATGTTTTATTCGAGTAATGAAGATGGTTAATTAGTGCACTGATATTGTATAGTTATCTTCCTATTATTGTTGAACCTGGTCAATCTGGCAGCTAGATAATAGAGAACTATTTATTTTAGAGTCCGTTTATAGCCCAGTGACGTTCTCTATATCAAAATCCTATTGGTAGTATACAAAGTATACAAAGAAAATAAGTAACTAATAGAACACAAAGATTTTATAACTTAATGTTCAGTCGGAAGATGAAATAAACAATCAGATACCTTCTCTACTGTTTTATTTTCATCTCAACTTAAAAGGTTATATGATAATATTCATCAAATACTTGATTATGCAATAAGACAAAAAAGAAATCATAATCTGTACATGTATAAGCCATATGTGACATGAAGTCAAAAGAATGAGGAAACAATTAATTAAAGATGATTGTGAAGCTGTGAAACATGACAAAGGTTTCTAAGTCAAACAAGAGTCTACAATTAGTGGTTTGTGAAAATATCATAATTCAAGTACTTATCCGTAGTACAATGAAAATATAAGTGACGATTCTGTAATGCATAATTCTGAATATTTAACTTTTTGAACTCACTCAAATGCAACAACTACCAAATACTAATTATGATTAGTGAACAATATGTATCCTACTGCCCAATAAAGTGTTCAAATCCGCCATTTTCCTATAATTCAATGAATCACTGTTAAAATAAGATATTTAAGATCCTGATAATGAACTACTTGTGGAGTATTTTAATGATTTATGGATCAACTTCAAAAAAAATTTAGTCATAAAACAAATTATTATACTGGATAGTGGCTATGGCGAATCAATGGACATGGTGTTATTTGACACTTGTCAGCGAGAGACACATGCAAATCTTAAAGGAACTTATGTTCTATGTTGGATATAAACTTTTGTCATTTATGGTATCACTATATGGTTTCGACCATACATTTGTAGTGTCGGTTGTTATGTTAAGCCCATAAAACTTATTCTAGCTTCTTGACAGGCCAGTCTATTCATTTTTCTTGAGTCACGTTTTGATTTTGTTAATTATTCTCTTATTAACCCTGACTGTTTTTATATGACCGTATGTGTATGTACATCTGATCATACTCATCACATATCTGTAACTTGAGTGACTATAAATATAGATTAACGCCTAATTAAATGGTATTGACTCACACACTATCTTCACTACGCACTGTTTCATTTCACTTTCACTTCGTCGTTTCATTCGTTACGTCTCTCTGATTATCTGTTGAGATGAACGATTGTACAAAAAATATGTATTCAAAAATCCATTCACGTATTTCAACTTATTTAATTCCGTTATTCACCAACACGATTGAAATCGATAATTATATACGAGGATTAACGATATATATATGTATATATGTTTCGACAGCAACACATTCATACGACCTAACTGGAATTAGATCTCGGGTCACACACCATATTCTTTGTTATTTATGAATTATTTATACCACAAAGCATAGAACTATACCTTATAATCAAAGATAGAAGATTTCATTTTGATGATAATTTAGTGAACAAGAACACCAGTGGGGACAATCGAATGTATTTAAAACAAAATTACAGGACTTGTTAATAAAATCTAACAGTCATAAAGTCAATGCTTAATTTGCAAGATGTCCATCGATTATCTCAAAATGACTCAGACTTCATTGTTCTGGCATCTTCGTACAAATTGCATTCTGTTCCCATTGTTTACTGTTCGATCCTCTTGTCTCTCTGTTGCCAGACATTCTATTCACAACTAACATCATATACTACTTATGTCAATATAAGTAGTACACACCATAATAGTAGTATCGAAAAGTATTCCTAAATTTCATAAGCTTTATTACATTTATTCTCAATTCTTATTCATCATAAACTACTTTTAAGTACAATAAATATTCTAAGATGATTACAAAACAAGAAACAACCAAACAGTCATTACCACAATGAATATGCTTTTTGTTTGCCATTGTTTATTTACTATGGTTTTGTTCTCCTTTTTTTTTCTTTTTAGAAAATTTAAGTATTGCAGTATTTACATTCAGTTTAAGTAATTTATTAGTTTGTATTATTGGATTCATTGCTGTATGGAATCAAAAATCTTCTTTGTTAAGGATGGTAAGTGTTATGATTATATTGATTGATAATTTACTTCTAAATATAAAATAGAACAATGATTAGAATTAAATTTAGTTGGTATTGTTTACTTGAATCTTTTTATTGATCTTTAGATCTCCAATTGATTAGTCTCTTATTAACATATGTACATCATGTGAGTATTGCCTTAATTCACAAATAATATAAGCAAAGATGGATGATAGTTAGAAGTGGAATCCAGAATGCGAGTCCCGTCCTATCTGGAGCTCTTTAACTGGACGTACCAGCATTCCAGAGTTGATGTTCATTCCGGGACTCAAAACTCAGTACCACCATCACGTTATCCACTTAGTCTCAGGGTAAACATCAGCTCTAGAATGCAAGTACATCCAGCTGACTAGTCTTAAATAAGACGAAAAACGAGTCCTGGATTCCATTGTTAATCATCATCCATCTTTGCTTATAAAGCTTGTGACTCAAAGCAATATCGAGGCAATACAGAGGATACAATATATGCTAACAAGAGACTGATCAATTGTAGTCGTGAATAACAATGTGAAGATACAAGCAAACAATACCAAGTGAATTTATACTTCATCCCATTGCACATGCAGGTGGTTATCAGGACTCAGTAAATGATTGTAATATTCTGAGTAACTTAAATAGTACCATTAAAGTAGTCGATCAGTTTAAACCAATCTGATGTTTTTTTCACGTAAATCCATGTCACTTGAATATTTACAAATAGTGATTTAAAATATCAAACTCTATCTCATAATATGGAATTGCCATTTGTAGAAAATATTATAATTTACCAAATAATCATTTATCTTGTAACTATACATTTCTAGTTATTTTGAATCAAAATGTATGATTTTCAAAGAGAAAATCAATTAGATAACACCAATAGATAAGAACAATTTACAGTCTGAAGATCCTAGGTTCGATTACAATCTGCGTGATCATAAATGAGTACTACTGTGGAAACCCATATTAGGACAGTACTTTCAGGTTATCAATGATAGTCTACCATTGATCAGTTCATGATTTCAGTAAAACTCAGCAACATCATTAACCCTGTACAGATAATGTTTCTTAAAGTTTTACTAACGAAGTTAATTTTAAGGTCATTCAATGGTTATACCACTTGTTTAAAGTTCAGCAGTCCCGTACTCAGAAGTACTCAGCATAGTTAGATGCATAGTTGAAGGCTATACTCTCATGAATCAGGTTACCGTATATTAAAATAATAGTTAACCAAAAATTATTTCCCGTCAATTTTCAATGTGAACTGATGCTAGAGATAAAATATAAACGACCGAATTAGAAAACATTTGAAAAGAAGTCTTGTTATAGTTTAAGAATTGTTCTCAAAGTTAATCATCAATAAACACTAAACACTGATGTATTAGGTTTCGTGGTTCTCTATGATTCTTAAACTGTTGTCGGTTGATGAAGTAACTCATCTCCGAATCAAACTATCACTGAAAACATTCTTATCCTCATAGAAAACATTTCTCATAACATTTCCCAACTTTAAGTTATGAGTAAAAACCAAAGCCTTACAGCTTTTAAATAATGTATAGTTGCTTTTGTAAAACAATTTGATATTAGCTAAACAAATTAAGCGCCTTTCAAACGTATCTTCTAACATTATCTTGTGTGATATTCAAAAGGTGAATGTTAAAGAATCAATAATTCAATATTGCAACACCTTGTGGACTTTGATGTTACGGCCCCACTTTACATATCCTTTAAAATTATCTGTGCACTAAAATGATTCGATTTGAGAAGAAGGCAAATGAAAACTTTGTACTCTACAGATTTGGTAGTAACCTATCCTTTCAAATCTGAACTCTGCATGTAAAAGTGACATATGCAAGCATTTGGTCTTTATAAATAATAATTTGATTAGTATTAGAAGGGGTTTTGTGGAGATTGTAGTAATTTCAATGGTTTAGATCATGAGTCAATCGAAGCTAGACCACCATGGAAAACCTAGTAGGTCCTAGAGTGGAATCTCGTGAAGTGAGGTCGTGAATGCACACTGCTGAGGAGTCTCACAATAGGACGAGATGGACCTCCAGTGCTTCCAGGTCTTCCATTGTGGTATAGCTTCAATTGACTCATGATCTCAACTACTGAAATAATTTGATTACCAATACATCCTAATAATGTTTTTAATTTAAATTATCCTGTTGCTTCCTTAATTCATCCACCTTACTAATATATTATCTCGATATAGATAAAGGCCTTGACTCGATAAGCTAGGTTCACTTGAACAAAAGACTGTTCTCTTTTCATTTACCCAAATTTTTGACCAATATTCTGTGCCGTGTTTTGGCTTGATTATTGAACTTAGCCAAAAACTGAGGACTATTTTTTCCAAAATATACAGGAAAACCGTTTGTAAAATAGAATGCAGACAATAATGAATAGTAGAAGTGAAGATAAACATAGATTGTTGAAATGTATCAACTATCAAAATACATTTTCGTGCTAGTTTTCAGTCTACACATATACTACTCTATAACTTAAGTAATATTATTCCATTTAAAAAATGTTTTATGATTCTGTAATTACTTTCCTTTTCATTGTACCTATTTTAAAGTATCAAATCATGCTAGGGTTCCTTCTACTTGGACATTTAATGCTAATCGTTGGATACTATTTCAGTAAGCAAACTGTAAGTTAGGATTGTTATGTGTAGAATATGTAACGTAATTTTGCAAATAAGTAAATGTATATTATATGTGAAAATTATATTTGAAATAATCTCAGACGTTTAAATTTAAATGATTCCAAACTTTCGTCCAGAAATCTTTTCTGGACTTACTTACTAATACCCGTTAACCCTTTTAAAGGAGCATAGGCTACCTAAAAGATTCACGATCGAAAACTATCCTATACAATCCTTTCCAGTTTTTTCCAATTGTAATTCATTCTTTTCATGTGTGCTTCCAACTCCCGACGTAATGTATTCTTCGGCCATCCACTTTTCTGTTTCCTTTCTGGATTCCACGTTAGGGCTTGTCTCGTGATGCAGTTTCATGATTCCCGAAATGTATGTACTATCCACTTCCAACGTCTTTTCCCAATTTCCTTTTTTTGTGGAAGCTGGTTTGTTTTCTCCGACAGTAGGCTATTGCTGATGTTATCCGGCCAATCAATGTTGAGTATCTTGTGTACACTATTGTTCACAAATACTTGTACGTTTTTGATGATGGTTGTAGCAATTCTCGACGTTTCAGCTCCGTACAGTAGAACTGTATTGACGTTCGTATTGACGATTACGTATTTGATATTAGTTGAAAGTTGTTTTGAGTTTCATATGTTCTTTAACGGTAGAAAAGAGGCCCATACTTTGCAAAACCTACCCTTTACATCTGCATTAGATCCACCTTGTTGATCGATGATGCTGACTAGGTACGTGAAAGATTCCATATCTTCCAGAGTTTCTCCATGAATTGTGATTGGGTTGGTGTTCTTTATGTTGTATATGAGAAAGTTGCTATTTCCATTGTGTATGTTGAGGCCGACTAATGCAGAGGTTGTTGCTACATTGGTTGTTTTGACCTGTGTTTGTTCGTGAGTGTGAAATGGAAGAGCTAGGTCATCTGTAATGTCGAGATCGTCTAGTCACACCCATACCGTTCATTGTATTTCGGGTTTTCCCTCAGATGTGGAGGTTTTCATAATTCAGTTGATCACCAGACGAATTAGAAAGAGAGGTAGTACGAAACCTTGCTTGATACTGGTCCTCACTTGAACTTCGTCAGACAGCTGTTCTTCATACACGACTTTTGAGTGTAATCCGTCGTATGAATTCCATATAATGTTGACGGTTTTCTGAGGTACTCCATAGTATCGAAGAAGTTTCCATAATGTTCTCCTATCCACTCTCTCAAACGCCTTCCCATAAAGAAGGAAGTTGATGTTTAGTGACAAGTTCCATTCGATTGACTGTTCAGCAATGATTCTTAGTGTTGCAGTTTGGGCTTTGTTCGAACTTAGGGAATCTGCTCTGTCGATCTCGATGTTGGGCGTCTATTGAACTTGGTTTAGTAACACTGTGTTGAATACTTTCCCTGGTATCGATAATAGTGTGATTTCTCTGTAGTTGTCACATTTGCTCAGACCTTCTTTCTTTTGTATCTTGATGGGGTATCCTTCTTCCCAGTTTGTTGACACTTGTTCTTCCTGCCAAATCTTCCTGAACAGAACGTGGAACATTTTTGAAGTTATAATATACATCAGAAGCATTATACATCTGTTACTTTTAACACTCACTTTCACTCTGTGATGGTAAACAAATAATTGATCCTGAATACTATATGTTATATGGCTGAGGGTGAGTGCGTTTCTGGGGAGTCCAAGACCACGGGAATATGATGAACGATTACGATCTTGTTCATGTGATAAATATTACTTGGTGGATCAAGATAATTGTTCTATTGTCCGCGATAATCAGACATTTTCTGAGATACAATAAAAATGAAAGCTGTCATTTTTATCGAACTATATACATTATCAGTTCACTTGAATGTTAACAATGTATTTATCAACCTATCTTTTGATAAATCAGGACGAATAACCTCATGAATAGAAAAAAAATGGTATAGTTGATAGAATATCTACGTTGTTCAAATAAATGTAACAAATAGAATTCTTCAATTCTGTAATATCAGACAATGGATAAGGCTTCACCCTTTTATATAGTTATTGTTATATTCCATATTAATTATCTTTTTTTTAAAAATAACATTTAGATTGAAGATCATTTGAAAGATTTTCTGAAAAGTTTAATGACAGAATATGTGTCACTGAGAAGTGGAACTCCGGCAAGCTTATTTACTGCCAGTGTGATGATTATGGTAAGTAGAAATAAAGTTTAAAGACTGTTAAGATGAGATGAATAAGTATCAATGACAAACTATGAAAGTTATTTTAGCGATCAACATTTGGATTTTTTATAATGCGTCGTGTCCCTGTAATTCATACTTATAACCATGTGGGTTTTTCAGGTTATCAATATAGGCGCATCAGCTGCCTTTTCTCGTATTCTGACTGAGGATAGAAGATTTCTACTTTGATTAATAAGTGTTAAGATATTAGCTCATTTACTAGCGACATAAATAATGTTGGTTTAAGCATAGCTGAACAAGATAATATCAGTAACATTCATACTGATGATGCATAAAATTTGGAAATTTTCATTCTTATTTATTTATTAAAACACATAAACATTAGTACAAGGAGTCACCAAACAGATATGCGCCACATAAATCATTCGACTTATGTGGGGGCTAAGATATTGCCTGGGTGCCCAGACCGAAGCAGGCAAAATGACGGGATGGCGTAGGAGGTCCTTCCGGCCAACTGGTTAAGCAGGTCACCCAACGAAGCAAGCGTAATTTGCCGTAACGAAGTAACCACCTTGATTGCCCGGCATTTTTATTAGAGTGTTATCGTGTCAATGTGATACATTCGTCATAAAGATAATTAGTAATTTCAATACTAATTCTCGCTAAATGAAAAAGTTCATTCACACTATTGCCTGATGATTTATCTGAAAAGATAACACCGAGATTCAAGATCTGGTGAAAAGAGTGAATATATACGAGGTGTTGTGGAAAATGCTCAATTATGCTACCCAAGACCTTCAACACCGCGGACCACGGTTATGGTGCAGACTACAACCAGGCAGTTGTATCTACCAAGATGGCTCAAAACTATAGTTAAAAAATTCATGACGTAAAAAAATAAGTCCATTTACAAATTATAAATTCATCAAATAAGCGAGGCATAAATAAATCACGAAACTAACTTTATATCAGTGTTAAGAAGGATTTAGATTATCACATTGTTGGTATTCGTGACTGAAATTTATTCAGTATTTGTTGGTATGCCGGTTAAACAAGTTAGTGGTTATCTGGAGTCAGTAGTTCAGTGGATCATACATTAAGCATTTAGAGAGAGATATTGAGTTAAAGCATTAACACTGGACATAGATACTTTCGACTGACGAGTCTTAAATAGAATGAAACTTTCATTCTAGACTGTACTGCCAGGAACAATTCACTTTTCTTGAAAAATAGCTTGTTTTTGTAAATATTTAAGATTGTTTATAATGAAAATTTATACTGAGGTTAAATAGGATTACAAATATTTTTTTACATTGTTTAATGTTTCAGTTAAATTGTTGTGGAGCTACATATCGTCAGTTTGATTGGAAATATACAAAGTTTGATCCAGTTGATACTTACAATAACATAATTTATCATGGTGAGAACAAATGAAATGTATTTTATACTTCAAAATAAATAATCACTGCATAGTTACTCTATGTCAATACTGACTATTCTTTAAGTTCATCGACAAACTTTCCATGTAGTTACCAGATTAGATAAATCGATATCTTAGTTCACTCTGTCTGATGTTAGGTGTTTAAAAGTAACTAGTAGGCAGTTTTGCACTTAGAATATATTTAAGCTGACGGTAGCTAACAAGATGTATATATGATCTTGAGAGAAATTATGAGTCTAATTATGTTCAAAATTGTTTTACTGAGCATTACAGTCAAAGGCATAATCACTAATCTATGATTTCGAATCATTTTAAATCATTCAAGTGATTACATCATTGATTTTGTCAATATAGCAGATCAGACAGTATTTATATTTTAAATAATAATAATATTCTTATAATTTTTCATTGAACTGATACAAGATATTCCAATAGTTGAAATCATGAGTCAGTTGAAGCTAGACCACCATGGAAAACTTGGATTGGTTGAAGTTAGACATTAATACCATTGGATGCAGGCTCAGTGATCTAATGGTTAAGCGCTGATAGGTCATGTGTTGGAATCTCGTGGGGGGCGGGGTCGTGGATACGCACTAATGAGGAGTCCCATACTAGGACGAAACGGCCGTCCAGTGACTCAAAGTTTTCCATGATGGTCTAGCTTCAATTGACTCATGATTTCAACTATTGAAATTTCTAAAATCCCCCATCTGACTTCTATTTGAAGTTTGTGCTGATGATGTCGTTCAGAAGAACGATGAAAGCTCCACGACCAAACCATCCAGCTCAGAGAACAAAACTCCACCAAAATCATCCACCTGAGCTACAAATCTTCTCCACCATCTCAAAGATTATAATACAAGATATGTTATTACCTAGTAATTTTCTTCCTATTATGTTTCTAAGGTATAAATCAACCTATACCATGCTGTAAAATGAATGATCAGTTAGAAATAATCAACATTACATGTCCATTTGAATATACAAAATACAATAGTAATATTGGAATTGGTTGTGATAAACCATTTGCAGAAGAAATAACATTATATTTGAATACAATAGTACTTGGAAGTATTTCAGTTTTATTAAGTAATGTAAGTTTATTTAGTTTCCATTGTTATTCATTACTTCATAAGTAATTTATGCATTTTGAGAATGATATAAAGGAATAAGAAGATGACATTATATAGGTCAATGTTTCATTGTGTCAATTCATTATCAACTTTGTTTTGTATGAAGAGTGTGAACTCACGTTCAGTATGACAATTTTATTTTGTGTATTAACTTAGGTCAACTATATTTATTATGTGAACTTTTATAGCAACTATATATATATTCCCTTCATATGATACTATTAAGTGTGTCTAGAATTTGGCGAATAAATCATTATCAGAATGGGTTTTTGTGGAGATTTTAGAAATTTCACAAGTTGAAATCATGAGTCAGTTGAAGCTAGACCACCATTGAAAACCTGGAAGCACTGGACGGCCGTTTCGTCCTAGTATGGGACTCCTCAGCAGTGCGCATCCACGACCCCGCACCACCCGGGGCTCGAACCCAGGACCTACTGGCTTCGCGCGCGAGCACTTAACCATTAGACCACTGAGCCGGCATCCAACGGTGTTAATGTCTAACTTCAACCAATCCACGAAGTTGCGCTACCGTACACCATTGTCCTCAGTGAGTTCCTATCTCACAACAGACCTGGTTGAACTCCACTGGTAACGACTTCTCACTAGAACTCCAGAAGTGTCTCCTGAAGTCAGTCACTAGTGAGCAGGTGATTATTATTATCAGAATGGGTTTTTGTGGAGATTTTAGAAATTTCACAAGTTGAAATCATGAGTCAGTTGACTCATGATTTCAACTTGTGGAATAAATCATTGTATTAGTGGTCTAAGGATGATCTGATTTTGGATGTGCTTTGAGATTTATTTGTCATCATGTTTTAAAGTCATTTCAGTCTTAAGTAAGTCTTCAGTAATAAGGATAGGAGAATTATTAATCTATATTAATTCTTGAAGTTTGTAACACTGTGAAGGTCCAATCTCGTTTTGAATATATCAAGAGAAGGTGCTGATATTACGCGTTCCGGTAGAGAATTCCAGTAATTCACTACTTGGTGCGAGATACGAAACTCCACATGAAGATGATTTGACCTCGGTTTTTGAACTTTCTTAGAATGTCCTCTCAAATGATCAGTCCTAGACCGAAGGGAAAGGTAAGACATATTAATATCATGGTCATCGTTCAGTATACGATATGTGATTTGGTACTCATTTGTTATCGTGCTTTGAAGTCAATAAATTTTCGTTGTATCAGTCTTTTGTGTTCTCACTTTGCATCGTGAGAATAGTAATGGTTCGCGTTTCACAGTATAAGAAGTTGGATAAAGCATTTTGCAATGGTTTCTGATCATAAAGTAGAGACAGTTGTACGGCGAACTCAACAGAGTTGATACGCAAATGACAGCGGTGATCTCGTATATATAAAAATTGCCTACCCAGTTACAACGGTGCCGATGAAGCCATACTTCGGTAACTTACTTTGATGATTCACGTTTTTACAAATCAATATTAGAATTATCAATTCCTATATTTCGAAAGATTTTATGGCGAATTTATCTCACCTGATTAAAATGCTATTAACTAGTGATGATTGGACAATGCGAGGCAGTTAACCACCTAAGATAATGGAAGATGGTCACACAGTATCGTGGATTGGTTGAAGTTAGACACAAACACCATTCGATGTCGGATTAGTAGTTTGGAACTTAAGCATCCACAAGAGAGCGACGGTCCTGCATTTGAGTCCCGTGTGAAGGATCGAAGATGCGCACTGCTGAAGAGTCAAATATTAGGACGAAACGGCCGTCTGTTACTCGTATATTCTCAATGGTGGTCTAATATTGTTCAGTTCATGATCCCAAATAAAACTAAACAAACTCCACAACCCTATACTGATAATGATTGGACAGCTGATTCATTCCGAATTCAAACTTCACAATATCATATGCCTACAACATTACTTAGGAATACACACTCAAGATGTACAAGGTCATGGAAAGTGAATTATTGTTTGTCAAAATGTTCAAATTCATTCTTCTTAAATTTTACACTCAATCAATTCATAACACAATACGACTATAAATCAGAATTGTCAATTAACTTCTACAAATTACAATGTCTCTAGGAAAGATCAAAATGTATCTCAGTAATTATTAGTAGTTTGTACCAGTTAGACACTTATTTCATGTATTTACACAGATAACTTTGCAATCAGTTTTTACAATGGGTAAGATCATGATTCAGTTGAAGCTAGACCATCACGGAAAACCTGGAAGCACTGGACGGCCGTTTCGTCTTAGTATGGGACTCCTCAGCAGTGCGCATCCACGATCCTGCCCCCGACAGATTCGAACCCAGGACCTATCAGTCTTGCGCACGAAAGCCCAACCATTAGACCACTCGATGCACACTGCTGATTAGTCTCATAGTAGGACGAAACGGCCGTCCAGTGCTTCCAGGTTTCCCATGGTGGTCTAGCTTCAACTGACTCATGATCTTAACCACTGAAATTACTATAATATCCACAAAACCCATCTGATATTAATCAATTTTTAATCAAAAGAAATATTAAAGAAGTTAACTAATGTATTTTTTTAATTCCATTCATTACATAGGTAATCATGTTATGTATTGGAGTGAAAGCAATTAAAGATTTCAATCCTATTACCTTATAAAATATTAATATACCATTTAATACCTTTGATCCATCAATGATTACACTTTAACGAGAAATATTAAATTCAATATAAATTAGAACAATCTATAGTACAATGATTCAACTAATGGAAACTGTTTCTTTTTTCATAATAAATTATTTGAGTTCATGTGCTTTGCTTGCTTTGTTTTAAACATTACACATAGGTTAAAGAATACTTAAAGTATGCTCAGAGTAATTTTGATATATTTCACTAGTTGAAATCATGATTTAATCGAAGCTGGACCATCGTGGAAAACCTGGAAGCACTGGATGGCTGTTCAGTCCTAGTATAAGACTCCTTAGCAGTGCGCTTCCAAGATCCCGCCCTCCACGAGATTCGGACACAGGACCTATCAGTCTCGCACTCGAGCGCCTAACCATTAAACCACTATATACGCACTGATGAGTAGTCCCATACTAGGATTAAACGGCCGTCCAGTGCTTTCAGGTTCTCATGGTTTCAACTAGTGAAATTTCTAAAATCTCCACAAAATCCCTTCTGATATCTTAATATATCCTTGTGCATTTTTTTAGAAGATTTCGACAACCTAGCTAAATTGTAAAGAAAAAAATAATATTAAAGTACGTAAAAACAATTTGATTAGCACTGTGTATAATAAATCAGTATTACCATGGTAGGTTAAGTGTAAAGAAAAATTGTTTTAGAACGCATAAAGGGCTAGCATTTTCGACAAATCAATGATGTAGCTATGGGTAGCCTTTTAGGACCGTTGCTGGCTGATGTGTTCATGGCATATGTTGAAAATTTAGCTGAAGAATCAATTCGAAAGATATATCTGTATGAACGGTATGTTGATGATATCATAATCATAGGTGATAAAGGTGGAGATGAAAACCGGTTGTTAAAAGAACTCAATACAAGTCAAAAGCACATTTCTCTTACATGTGAAGAAGAGAAGAACAAACAACTTCCTTTTCTAGACATCCTGAATAGTAGTAGAGATGATGGTTTCATCCAACGTTCTATATATAGAAAACCAACATGGACAGGACAATATCCTAATTTCGATAGTCACTGCCCAAACGTGGATTAATAAAGGGCTTATTCAATAGAATCAATCATATTTGTACTAGTGATACTATTGAAGTAGAGACGAAGCTCATGACTGATATGTTAATAAATAATGGTTATTCATTGAAGTTCATAAACCGCTGGAAGAGTTGTAATACGACTAGACCTATGACGCTTCTGGCACCCAAAAAGCGAGTTTACATTGTGTTACCATTTAGAGGCGACACAAATAGACTCATGCTAAAACAGAGACTTAAGTTAGCTATCAACCAAACATTTTATGCAGCCCAGCTTATTATTATTGAAAGGACAAGGTCTATGTTTCACAAAAAGCCGAAACATCACATAAGAAATTGTGTCACATCCTAATGTGTCTATCAATCTGCACGTATGTGCGGGAACACATACATAGGGAGGAGCAATCGTGATTTGCAATTAAGGGTGGGTAAACTCATACCAAAATAGTTACAGAAACAAATGGATTACGATGGTCAAATAAGATCACAGGATAGACAGACAAAGCCTCCATAACGAAACATTTGATTGAAACTGGTCATAAGGTTGATATCAAATCAGCATTTGTAGTATTATGCAAAAGCCTTTCATGACGTATATTAAGATTTATTGAAGCCTTGGCTATACGGAAATTGAAACGCCATTTCATGCATTCAAAAACAATTTGTCCTTACACTTAATCTACCCTGGTAACATTGATTTATTATCCAGAGTGGTTATTACATTGTTTTTGTGTACTTTTTGTACTTTTGTACTTTTGTCACGGCTTACCGTTAACCTGTCTAGTTGACCTTGTAATTTTCATATAAGAATGTCTCAACAATTATATGTATGTGATCAGATTGTTCGCAATGTATTTCGCAAATATATCACATAATTCTGATAAACTACGTCTTCTTATTGCATTATCAAAATTTATCGAAGGGACTCGTTGTTTTAAATTATAAAGATAATAGACAATAATGGTTGATAGGCCAAATTACAAATACCTTTAAATACACTGGTTAAACGACTGACTAAAAGAATATACATATCACGAAACAATACGTAATATTCATCTACAAATTCGCTGATTGCACGTGGTGTGTGGTGCATACTACTTATGCTGACAGATATAAGTAGTATGTATCAGCTAACGAAAGTGGAACACTTGGCAGCAGAAGATTCAGAAGATTGAATTGACAAAAACAAGAATGTAAACAGAGAGTAATTGTAATAAAAACAGAATTGAAATAATCCTGAAGCATATAAGGGATAACTGATGAAAGATGTGCAAATGATGTATACAATATATGGTTCTCATTTTTTCACAAAGGCACACTGTAATCTAGTGGTTTTTCCTTGGACTGATGATCAACTATTACCTTCCACTTGAACTTATACTTCATAATAAAATACGTATTCATTGTAAATATGAGTGATATATAATAAAGAAGGCGATAATTTATGAAAAATTCACTATAGTGTGACCTATCTATTGAGTGTCTGATAATAATTGAATATTCAAGGCACCAGATTCCATTGTTCAATAAAACATAAATGATTATGGTGAAACTCAAAATGTTCAGATAACTCAAAGTTAAGATATAACTCAAGAACTATTAGTTAGGACAATCAGGTATATTTGTATGCATCAAGTATTTATATTTACTAGTATAGGGGTTGTGGAGATTATTAAGTTTTTGATTGAGATCATGAACCGATTGATGTTAGACCACCACAATTGAAAACCTAGAAGCACTAGACGGCCATTTCGTCCTATTGTGGGACTCCTCAGCAGTGCGCATCCACGATCCCGCTCTCGGTATTCGAACCCAGAGCCTTCGGCCTGACGCACGAACGCTTAACCAGCTGGACCACTGAGCTGGCATCCAATGGTGATAGTGTCTAACATCAACCAATCCAGGAAATTGCGCGACCAACTTCCGTTGTTCTGAGGTAGATACCCATCTCTACTCGATATGGATTAGCTCCACTGGTCACGGTTTCTCACTAGAACTCTGGTAATCCCCTCACGAGGCTAGTCACTAGTGAGCACATGTTGGTTACTAGTATAGGGATTGTGTAGAGTATTAAGTTTTTGATTGAGATCAGTGACCTCTGAATGCATGTTACGAATGATGATTTTTCGTCAGAATAGGATTTAAAATAAGAAAAAAGACCGGATATATGATTAGCGTTTCGATGAATATTCGACCAGTATGGGCAAAGTCAATGCAGATATTTATATGATCAGTATTTAAAAGAAGGTTAATTGTTTTAGTTCTGAGAATTGATGAATAAAGTGGAACAGTATTAACTCGGTAAGTTAATAATCAATATTTTCATATTTGAAACAAGTAGTAGCTTGAGTGTTGTGTGGTACAACTATATTCACTTGGGTTCTAGTATCTTCGTATACCAAAAAATGTCAAGCATATTAACATAAAAAAGCAGGAATCCTGATTAAGATGTATCTTTTATGTACAAGACAATATACAGCATTCATCAGTAAAATCATTTTTAAATATAAGAGACTCTTTCCATCTAGATTATCCATAACCACATATCACTTTGTCAGTGGTTAATTCATTGCATGGTACCAATGAAGGGTCTTACATTTTAAGACCATATAATGATTAAAAAAATTCATCAATGAAGTTTTAATTTGTTTTTTTAATGATCGTTTGAGCCTTCTCATTGGTGCTTAGAGCTGTAATTGATCAGTCTCTTATTGGCATATATGTATTACACTGCTAGACACCATCCAGTTTTACTTATAATGTACTTTCCTTACGCCTATAACTTTACGCCTGTTACTGCCGATTAAGAATAGACTGACGATCAGCATTCCCCAACCCACTCTGTCTTAGGCCTTCCTTTCTAGTTCCATCCAATAGCTGTTCATTCTTCTCATATCTGTCTGCATTTCTTGGCGTGATGTTTTCTTTGATCTTCCCTGATTTTAAATAAATGGTGTATATGAACTCCAGGGTCCTGACTTAACAAATGATGTATGAACCTACTGTTGGTCATCGACTACCATGGGATTGGCTTTCGTAACATTGCATTACCTACCTAGTGGATTAGACCTTTAGGTCAAAATCTTGTGTAGTGTCCCTCTAATAAAACCAACTGCTTTGGTTTAGGTATCCAACCAGTATTTCTATCTTCACAAAAATTGATCGATCACACTACCGCATATCCATTCGGTACCTCTTTGTACCAATGTTAAAGTGTTTTTAATGGCTAAATAATAAAATTTTAGACTTATAAATACTCATTTTTAGCTAACTACATATAATGAAAATCGATGACGTTGATTAAATTATGATTAGTGATTGAAAATATAATAACAAGTCATTCAAACACATTGATTGCAGAAAGATAAAAAGTCTATGAATCAACAATACCCAAAACTTACTTCTACATTTAATTAGTTGTTGTTGTTTGTTTTTCTTAAAATAAACAAAACCTACACAAATTCACTCGGTATTCTTTTACTTTTATCTTCCTATCGTTATTTGGAACTGCAATTGATGATCAGTCTCATGTTGGCATATGTACATCCTGTGTAGATTGCCTCAATATAACCTTAAATCCCAGAGTGAACATCAACTCTGAGTTCAGGTACATCCAGCTGACGAATCCCAAATAGAACGAAACGCTGGTCAAACTGGATTCCACTGATAAACACTATCCATCTTTGCCTAAAAAAACCCATACAGAAGTTCCAAATATGAAAGAACAATCAATAATATCGATAATTATAAATCGATATGTTTTTCTTCTTGTTTGTTTTGCCTTATAAACAAAACAAACTATTGACAATGATCACATGTATAATGATCAGGTAATATTATTTTTGATCAACATTATGATTCTATTATTTATAATGTAAGAAATATGAATCGTTTCAGTATGTTGTTGATATTGAATTGGTTTGTTTTATGTGAGATGTTACACATTGTATTTGTTTGATATAGTAATAAAAATGATGAGTATTTGACGTGAATTCATGAAAAGCATACAATTAGGTTATTGAATAATTATGATTAGTTCATTGTTTACCAATCCATACTAATGGATACCATTCTATCATGCGTTTAAACAATAATCTAAGCTGAAATTCATGTCAATTGATACTTAGGTAAATGTATTTAGATGGAAGTGACTGATGAATTTCTTGTATAGAAATCTATGGCAATTGATTTCTGTTATCGAATTCATCTGTATTTATAGGTCACATATACGATAACTCATTGTTTTCAAAAAAAATTATGATATGAAAATGTTTAGAAAGATTACCGTAACATTTTCGAAAACTATAAGCAAAGATGGATAGTGGCTAGAAGGGGAATCTGTGACGCATATTTCGTCCTATTTAGGACTCGTCAGCTAGATGTACCTGCATCCCAGAGTTGATGTTCACTCCGAAACTCGAACCCATTAATGTTCGCTTCAAATGCCATCGCGTTATCCATTTAGCTACTGAGTTCAGATAGCCATCTGCTTGTGCAATGGGATGAAGTTTAAATTTACTTAGTATTAATTACTTGAATCTTCTCATTTATGTTTAGGATGTTTAAAATAACGTGATGGCGTTTGAAGCAAGCTATACTGAGTTCGAGTCCCATTATTAATCATTTTTATCCATATTTTATTTCAAAGTGTTGAGGACCTTAGATCCCCAGAACTCACTTGGAAAAGGACCTAATTTTGTAATTTTATTTAGAAAATTTGAATTTCATTGTTTCCGCGCCAAAACCGCTCATTTTCACCTTCATGTCATATTTCCGATTTGGGGAATCTTAAACGCTATTAGTCCGATTTGTCTATTAGTATGCTATTTTGTAACCCTTCCCAAGGACGGTTTGGTGTTGTACATATACGTTCTGATTTGTGTCTGCTGTAATCGCTTATGCTTCTGGCCTTCTGCAGAATATACTTCCCCGTTCGGATTTCGGCTTCTTTCTCTAGTTAGCAGGGCTGGGACGCAACAGAATAGCTAGTTTATTGGTCATTGGTCACAATTCCGTTCGCAGACTAAGTGAATCCGTATCCGCTTCAAACCTAGCCCAAAGATAACACTTAATGAATTGATGTTCCGTACTTGAATAAGCCCAAATGAATTCATCTCCTTAATTGTCCAATTTTAGTTGAAATACTGTGGATATATAGATCTATCATCCGCCATTTTCAACTGTAGACATTTATGATGGAATGATATATGATGTTGAGTTAATTTCAAATAGGATAACATTTAATTTTAATATTCAAGATGTTTGAATTTAACTTAAAACAAGATATGAACATTATAAACCAAAGAAGGAAAATTCAAATCATCCTATGATTTCCTTGTTACAATGTTACGTCCCTGTTATGACAACTAAATTTATGAAGCTTTTCTTAAATAAACAAGAGATTATAAACGTTTAACAACATCCGAATAGTTATTTGACAAGATATATCAATTTTGTTTGGTCTAAATAACTATAATGAACTGGTAGAGTTCAGTTTCATCGATTGTGAGATAGGTAATGACAAATAGCAATGAATGATGGTGTGTGTTTGAACGCCACAATATGGAGTTATTTGATATAATGTTAATATCATACTTTTAATACTTTATTTGCAAAATATCCATCAATTGTCTTGCCGGCTCAGTGGTCCCGTAGGTTAGGCGTTCGTGCACGAGACTGAAAGCCCTTGGGATCTAATTCTGCAAGCGGGATCGTGGATGCGCACTCCTTGGGGGTTCAACAATGGGACAAAACAGCCGTTCAGTGCTTCCAGGTTTTCTATGGTGGTCTAACACCAATCGGTTCGTGATCTCGATCAAAAAATTGTCTTACAGTTTGTTGTTTCTTCATTTCTGTACTAGTTACTTTCTATTCTCGTTCTCCTCTATTCGATTTTCTCAACCTTCTCACAGGCATTTCATTTTCGATTGGTGTTACATACTACTTATATCTGTCGACATAATTACCACACACAACGATATTATTACAAAGAAATTTCATTACCTACCATGGTCAATGAAGTTAGACTCGAGATAAATTACGAAAGAAAATGAAACAACATATTTGACATAGTATTCAAGATTGACTAGTATTTATATTTTTAAGATGAAGTCAATAAAAGTTGAGGTAGTGAAGCTATAAGCGATAAAAACGGATTGTTATTAAATGGGCAATAACCAAATCACCTATTTAACATAAGACTAATGTAGTTAGTGAATATCAGTGAGATTTTTTACTATAATTTACAGAAAGGAATGAAGAGATAATGTAACTGACGAGTGTTAAATTGATATATCTATGTTAACATGGTAACAAGAGGTTTAACCATACTTTCTTTCTGCAAATAAATGTTAGGTCGAAAACTCTTGATAGAAATGACATCTGCAAAACGTACTCAAAATGACATTTGGAAAACCTGGAAGCACTGAACAGCCGTTTTGTCTCTGAATGTAACTCCTCAGTAGTGATTTCAGGTTTTCAACAGTGGTCTAACATCGATGGATTCATGATTTCAATCAAATATTTAACAATCTACACAACCCCACACTGATAATTACCATGTGCTCACTGGCTTCGTGAGGGAATTCTCGAAGTTCTAGTGAGAAGCCGTGATCAGTGGAGTTAATCTGTGTCGGTTAGAAACAGGTATCTACCTCAGACAATAGAAGATGGTGTTGCAATTTCGTGGATTGGTTGAGTGCCGGCTCAGTGATCTTATGGTTAAGTGTTCACACACGGGACGGAATGTCCTGGGTTCGAATCTGTTGGGGACGATAGATCCCCAAACTCATATTTTAAATTTTATCGCATCGATCAACTTATTGATTAAATGTTTAAATATTTGTATTGAGGTCAATTGATGAACTGATCGATTAAATATTTGAATAGCAGTCAACAGATGAACTATCGATTCAATGGGCAAATAGGTCAATTTATGAACTCATTGATTAGTGTTTAAAAATTTTCTATGACAATAACGATTATATATATATATATATATATATATATATATATATATATATATATATATATATATATATATATATATATATATATATATATATATGTTTAAAAGTGTGTTTGCTTGCCGCTGCTGCTTGCTTGATTGCTCGCTCGCTCGTTTTCTGGCTGTTTGCAGAATATACTTTCCATACCAAGCCTGGACTTCTCCTTCTAGATAGCGGGGCTGGGACGCGTCAATAGTTAGATCACTGGTCTTTGGTCACTGAGTATTGTTCTCGTTCGCAGTTTAAGTGAACCCGTGAAGCTTCAAACCTAACAATTTGGCGACGGGGGGATCGTGGGTGAGCACTATTGAGGAGTGCCATACTAAGACGAAACGATCATCCAGTGATTCTAGGTTTTCAATGGTGGTATATTTCTTTTATTATTTATTTTAACACACAGATATTGGTACAAGGAGGCACCAAATATATATACGCCACACAAATCTCATTTGATATGTGTGAGAATTGTGATACTGCCCAAACCAATGCAGGTGGTTTTCTAAGGGGACCACACCAAGAGCCTTCGATCTGAAGGTCTAATCCACAAGGCAGTGGAGCATCGTAAAAAGATGCAGTCCTATGGTAGCTGGTAACCAACGATTGGTTCATACGCCATTTGTTCCTTCAAGATCCTGGAGTTCATGTGCACCATTGGTTTGGAATGAGCGTTTTCCAACTTCCCTAGATGGATTCTCCATGTCCACCAACCCGGTTGAAGTGCTGGACATTCGCTTTTCGTCCTATCAATTTCGTAAACAACCCACATGTGGTGCGAGAAGGTAATGAGTAGGCCTTCTCTGGCAGAGGCTATATATGCGTGGCCATGTGAGAGTGGTTCGAGAGGGAGAGCGAACTCTCTCCACCCTCATACGTACCAGGGCATTTGGGGATATTTATCCATTCATAATCTCAATCAATAACTTAAATATCTTCACATTACTATACTGATAACAGAAGAATTGAATCATAGCAGCCGATTTTGTGTTAATTTAGGCTAAAATTTACATTTATGAAGATTGAATTTTTTGTTATTGCTAAGTATTATTATGATTCAAATGTGTAATTCCTTTCTTAAAATATACATAAAATATAGTTTTATAATGTAGCTTGATAAGTTCCAAAGCAATTTGTTAGTCACATACAATGAACTCATATTGATAGTCATATTTTGTGTTTTTAACTCTAGCCTGTTCCCTTATAAGATGAAACATTCTGTCTTACAGAATACTGTCTATCAAGTTAAATAATAACGAAACAATATTTTTTTGTATATATGATATATAGTAGTTATTTTGAAAACATCAATCTATAGATTTGTAACTGTACAGCTTTTTTGTTTTGTTTTACATAATAGTAATTTTGAATCTTAAATTTACGTTAGATACACATCACATATAGTTGTCATTCATAAAGTTATCATGAATAATTTATCACTATGTTATATACCTTTGGATATTGATCACTGGGTTTGTTTAAGAAACCTTTGAAACAGAAAGTGAATTAGTTACCAACATGCCCATTTCTACAATATTTAAATCTATCATTAATGAAATATAAATTTATGAAACAACATAGAAGTAAAGTTAATTAAAGGGTTGGTTCATTTCATCATTTAAAAATGGATATTAAAGAGAATATTGTAATGTTATTTTAACACAGACCATCTCTAATGATATATATATAACCAAAAACATCTTCAACGTTTATGAATGACCGCCGATGCTGTGTTTTCTCTGAAGATTCAATGACAATTGTGTATTATTAAAGGTATATCCATATTTCTCTCAATACCAGAACAACGCATATCACAAGTGCTATCTATAGAAAAAATGTTTAAAACAATAATACATTGTAATTTTAAATGTAGATAAAGAAACCAGACTAGATTAGTAACGTTTGTTTGTAAAAAGATAATGTGGTTAACTGAGTTATAATAAGTCAACTGATGGATAAAATTACTACAGTATATAATACTTACTTGCTTACATCTGTTACGCCTCTTAGAGGAGCATAGGTTGCCCATCAGGATTCACTGTCAAACTCTGTCCTGAGACAGTGTATAACACGGTTACTGAAATAACTTGCAAGATTTATCGAATAAACTTAATCCTATGTAACTACAACCTTAATTTCTTGGTTTGTGATTAACAGCGTTAATAATGTATAGAGATAATTTAATATGCAAAATTACTTAACGAAATCGGTATGACAATGTGATACATGTCAATTTGTATACAAGCAATCAAATTAGAAATTATTGATCCTTTGCTAATGATGGATACTATAATAACAAAGTACTCCTTAGAATTTATCTGACGATTTTCAAAACTTAAGTGATCGGAGCGTATGAACAATCAATTAAAATCTTGTAGCAACCAAATGTTTCGATGTTGCTTAGGTACATATTTTATTATTATTGACTATGTCTACTTGGACTATGTTAAAAATGAAAGATGCCACTTCGGTAACTAAGAGTAAAAGCTACCGAAGAGTTCTGTATCAAGAATGAAACAACTGAGTGGTTACTCAAATTCATGACACTTTTGGAAAGGAACAAGCTACAATAACCCTATAAATTAACAACGTGGTGAGCGTATCGGTATCTGAAGTAACAAATTAAAATGCTCGTGAAGTGTGTAAGAACATGTATTAGATGCATAATGACTTATTTGATACCGATAGTTAATCAAAACGATATCTGAATACACTCGTTTTTATGCGATATATTCACACTGCTCAACACTCAGGTTTATGGAAATAACATTAAATGCTACTTGACACCTTTTAATCACCGACTTAACGTATGAACACAGATTTAAACGCCTAAAAGTAGTTTACTAAGTTATATTATTACTAATTGATGTATAGTTAAATGGCTGTTAAGCACACACAGCTTATTCTAGCTTTCGGATAGATCAGTTTATTCATTTTTCTTGAGTCACGTTTTGTTGATTATTCACTTATCAACCTTGACTGATTTTATATGAACATACGTGTGTGTACACCTATCCTATTCATCACGTCTGTAGCTTATTTTTGTGTGACTATAAATACTGAGTTACGATCGATTAAATGGAGCTAGCTCACACGCCTTTTCCGCCGTGCGCCATCTCACTTTGATTCGTCCTTCTGATTGTCTGTCCAGATCAATGAGTGTAAAAAATAGACATATTCAAGCTTCCATTCTCGTATTTCACTTATTCAATCCAGTCATATTCACTAACGAGGATTAAGTCGATAATAGTATACGACAATGGTTAGGATGGTTGGGACTACCTCGACGTGCTATGTTCAGTGGTATAGGAGTAGGTTGGAAGAAAGCTAGTGGCGGCCAAACCAAAACATGGCACAAGTCCATGAAGTCACTGATAAGTGGACTGAGTCATGTTGGTAGGTGTAGACTACCTGGTTTGGGACCACGAGATGATAGCAACCGATGGTTAGAGACCCTGAATGACATGGCTCAAAATCGTTCGCAATGGCGCAGGTGCATACACTCTTTGTGTTCTCCCAAATTATAATCTTCTGAATTCTTCATGTCCCTTTTTTCCTCTTTCCAAATTTATTTCACTGGATTATACTCTTTAAATAACATCTTCAAACCCTAATCTTCCCGATTACTGCTTATACTCTTATTACCTCTACCATTACGGGATTTGAATCGACAACTGCATCTCTGTGCTAAGGTGGTGTGGCAACTCGAACTGACATAAGTACGTACGAAGTTCTACGTTGCTACTGACTGACTGACTGAGGATGTATATTTCGACAGCATTCATTCATACGATATGAGTGGAGTCAGATATCGGGCCACTAAAAGACAACTTGAAAAATTCCATTTCATATTGCCACTCGCATAGAAACAATTATACCACATATCAGTGAAGTCAGGTATATGCTATGTTTGGTAACATACATTTTATAGATATGGACTAATTTCAATAATGTTTCAGGCTAAAACAAATCAATTTAGAGATTGGATCATATCTATTTCATTTAAAGATGAACTGTTCTTTTAAAGCTGAATAGTTTTCATCATATTAAAACATAAACAATGAATAAAGATTATTCATTTCAATAAATTCTCTTCAGTTTCTACAAGTATGTGCTCAAATTCATAATCCCAAAAGTACCTTGGTTTAAGGCAAAAATGCATATTTTAAGTTTATATAGATATATGTATATATTGTTTACAAAACAATATGACATTGTAAGTAATTAACTAACTGTTAACTTATGTTAGCTTGAATAACTACGACGGAGCTTCCAGAGGCCCTAGAACAGCTGAAGAGTTTCATCTAATAAGAACGCAGTGGAGCTTTCTAGAATATCGACGTAGCATGCTACTATTGGTCAGTAGCATAACATAATTGAATTATAATTTTGATTTAACAAACGCTAATATCTATAAATATCAATGATTTGATTCTTGCCCAACAAGCACTTTCTCCATTCTTCTATCTTCTTATTTGCGACTTGGAAGGTTCTAGTGTTCGAGTGCTCAAGTTATACACGGTATATTAAGAATCTAAGCTCTAGTTATAACAGTTTGTATGATAAATGAAATTGTAAGATTAATCAGCAGAATAAACAATAACTACTATAAAGTGAGAGAGTATAATAACAATACAAATTACGAAACAAATAGAAAAATAAAAATTAGGTAAAAATCGTTAAACAGGGCTGGTTGGCAACTGAATTTCTTAAACCCTTAACAAACATTACAATAATAATAGTAAGATATAATGAATAAAATAAATCTAAGCTAAGAAAATACAAAAAGGGAGAGCTGTTTGTATATTAGTCATATCATGTAATTAAAATGTATGTTAACTAATCAGGTCAATGTTATAAAAGCTGAACGGAAAGCTCCAGCATTTCGTTTCGAATAGTTATTGCTTCAACTATTTGAGAGATTCGTAGTTTTGATGAATTTAGTCAATGAACTATTAACACGAGATATTAGTGTAAATGATTACTCCATATTAGTTAAATGGTCTGTTGCTACTAAATTCACTAAGGTTAACTTTATTTTCAATCATACATATCAAGAACTACTATAAGATTTAATAGGAAGTCTTTCTTTAGTCAACTTTAGTTTATTCTTACTTACAACTACTGATGATTTGATAAACTAGAATTTCTAGTTGACGATATGAATTCTGTGCATTATATTAACTTTATTGATACCGTACTTATTAGACGAAAAAAAAATCTGCATAAGATTTCTATCTGAGAAATAATTCTATGAGAAATATAATCATGCATTTATTTTAGGTTTAAGTAGCAAGATTACAGTATACTCAACCTCGAACATAATAAACTTCATTCAATTGGATGATAGAACTCCGCCTGAAGTCCCTCCGGTGGCTAATGACGGTCCTAAGCCCGGATAAAGGAGGAGGGTTGGGCATGGGGTTTGCGAGTTAAGTCCTGGAGTGAACATCGACTCTGCAATGCATGCACATCTAGCTGACGAGTCCCAAATGGGACGAAACGCGCGTTGAACTGGATTCAACTGCTAGCCACTATCCATCTTTGCTTAAAACGTTTGTGTCTCAAGGTTATATCGAGGCGATCCGAACAAGATGGATATATACCAACATGAGAATGATCATCAATTGCAGTCTTAAATAACAATGGAAAGATACAAGTAAAACAACATCAAGTGAACTCATTCACCAATATATACATAATACTTACATTGATCGCAATCAAAGTTATTGATAAATAAGCAATGTATGCTATGAAACTAAATGCTTTACGACCAAATACTTGTTTACAGCCTTTACTGTGATGTTTGTGATCGTTTTCTGATATGTAATGGAACCTTGGACAATTTACATCAATCAACTTCATGTCTTTATCCATCAAACAGCATGGTACAGGTAATACTAAGTCTGAAAGAAAATATATGATATAAATGATGTTTAAGTATTACTATGACGTAACAGTTCTGGGGATAATGAATAACGATACAGTTATATCGAGACGAGAATAAATGGATGGTAATCATTAGAAATTACTTATGGACTAATATTATACATATATTCTTATTGTATGAGTTGTAACATACATACTCTACAAAGTATTTCTAACTCAATTCTTGTTTAAGGTGGCTAGTGATGTAAACGATATTAAGAAAAACCTTTATTTATTCACTGAACCCATCTTCAGTTGTATGATGAATAACATTGCCCTTTTATGATAAACTTCTTATACCTGGAAGTTTGATTCATGAGCTTTTGTAAAACTATTATCATTTTATGGACAGAAATAGTAGTTTTCAAAAAGGGCTTTGTGGAGATTTTAGAAATTTCAATAGTTGAAATCATGGGTCAATTGAAGCCAGATCATCATGGAAAATCTGGAAGCACTGGACGGCCATTTAATCCTGTGGTGGGACTCCTCAGCGGTGCACATCCACGATCCCGCATCCCGCAAGATTCAAACTCAGGTTTTTCACGGTGGTCTAGCTTCGATTGACTCATGATTTCAAACGGTGAAATCTTAATTTTCTTGAGGGAGAGTGTGTTTAAACAAGTTAAAAACTATTATATTAATCGTAAATGATAAATTTCGTTACGTAGCAGATTTTTCATCAAATCTTACTTTCTAGATTTATCTATTACAAACATCCAATGTTTAATCTTAATATCAGTGAATGTTCTGCTCCAATGTGTGTGACTACAAAACTTTTAAGGGTGATTTTGAACAATTTTACTTAATTACTATTTACACTTGTATAGTATGTCACTGGGTTACTCTTTGTAGCTACTTTGTTTTACACAAAACGATTAAAGAAACAAAATGTTAAAAATGAAAAAGTTGAACTTCATAAAACTAATTTAGTCTTATTTAGTTTCATCTTTAATATTCGCTTCATAAATTGGAATTTAATATAAGAAATATGTGGATATTGTGGCGTTTTCACAATTGAAATAACAAACTGCTCTTAGCTTGAACACCATTTAAAACCTGAAAGCATTGGACGGTCATTTAGTCTTAGTATGAAACTCCCTAGCAATGCACATCCTCACTCCTGTTGCAGAGAATCAAATCTAAGACCTACAGTCTCTCACGCGGACGCTTGTACCATTAATTTAACATCGAGCGGTACTATTGTCTAGCTCCAATCTATGTCGAGTGTTATACAGTAATTCACCGCAGGTGGGGGATGAAGGGTTATACAAGATCACGTATTGATTGGAGCTAGACATTGACATCGTTAAATGCAGAATCAGTAATTCAATCGTTCGCGTCTGAGACGGTAGGTTTTCACAATATATACCATGAACTAATCTTACTTAGACCACAAGTAAAAACCAGAAAACATTGAATAACTATTTTGTCCTACCATTTGACTTAACAGTGTCAATCTATGATCTGACCGGTGGTCGAATCTAGGAATTTGAGATCTCGAGCCTAGAGTTTATATATTTAGTCCATTGAACTGCCATACAATAAATCACATGTTTTATTTCAACAAATTCATAATATCTTTTTAATTGTATAGGTCCAGAATGTATCTTACGGAACTCAACAATTCCATAGGCCGGCTCAGTGGTCCAGTAGGATAAGCGTTCGTGCGTGAGACCGAAGGCCCAGGGTTCAAACCCCGCGAACGGGATCGTGGATGGGCACTGCTGAGGAGTCGCACAATAAGACGAAACGGCCGTCCAGTGCTTCCAGGTTTCCAAAGGTGGTCTAACATCAATCGGTTCATGATCTCAATCAAAAAACTTGATAATCTCCACAGTCCTTATACTAGTAATTCCATAAGCTTTTGATTTCTAAATTCAAATACGTTTTATCATACAAGATGTTTTAGGGCTGAAATTTCTTGCTTTTTCCAAACCTTGTAATATAAAAAGCTGATGGTTTAAATAGTGAATCACAGTCATTATTATAAAGTGAAAACAAGTAGTTGATCAGTCAGTCAGCTACAACATAGGACCAGGCACATATACGGCATCAGCACAGCAAGATGAACATTTCATTCCTTATTTTTAATTCACGTGTTGACGGAGATGATATTTGCGTGGAAAAAAACAAATATTTTCGCTTACCATCATAAGTATGACCATCATATTCATCGGTATTTTCTACTCTGTCCTCGTCAAAATCAAAAGGATTCATGTAACCACAGCATTTTAACTGTTTAGATATTAAAAAAAATGAGACAGTAAAACATTTAGGCTTTATTGTTAATAAATGTTATTTCCTATTTTGATGGTGTGATACGGTCTGTTTGGTTGGTGTATAAACCCAGTATGTTTGAAATAAATGAGTCGCATAGTAGAAGCTGTTGTTATCGTTCTGGACTCAACTGAACGGGCTAGGCGAACAAAAGATCAATAAGGACGCTAGTCTGTTTATTACTGTTGAACGTCATGACTTGATGATTGTTCCAAAATTTATCGTGGACAGTATGTAAACAATTAATATCAGAGGGGGTTTTTGTCGATATTAAAGTAATTTCAATAGTTTAAATCATGAGTCAATTGAAGCTAGACCACCTGGAAGCACTGGACGGCTGTTTTCTATTGTTGTGAGACTCCTCAGTAGTGCTCATTCAGGGCTGCGCACCCCACGAGATTTGAAGCCAGGACCTATCAGTCTCGCGCCAAGCGCTTAACCAACTAGACAACTGAGCCGGCATCCAATGTTGTTAATGTCTAACTTCAACGAATTCATGAAGTTGCGCCTCCGTACACCATTGTCTTCAGTGAGTTGATATCTCACAACAGACCTAGTGGAACTCCATTGGTGACGGCTTCTCACTAGAACTCCAGGAGTATCTCTTGAAGTCAGTCATTACTGAGCAGATGATTATTATCAGAAGGAGCTTTGTGGATATTATAGTAATTTTAATAGTTGAGATCATGAGTCAATTGTAGCTAGACCACCAAGGAAAACCTGAAGTCAGTCACTAGTAAGCAGATGATTATTATCAGAAGCCTTTACCAGTGGAGTTCAACCAGATGTGTTGTGAGATATTAGCTCACTGAAGACAACGGTATACGGTAGCGCAACTTCGTGGATTGGTTGAAGTTAGACATTAACAACATTGGATGCCGAGTCAGTTGTCTAGTTGGTTAAACGCTTGGCGTGACACTGATAGGTCCTGGGTTCGAATCTCGAGGGGTGCGGGATCGTAGATGCGAAACGGCCGTACAGTGCTTCCAGGTTTTCCATGATGGTCTAACTTCAATCGACTCGTGATTTCAATCAATCAAACACTTAAGTTCAAACTTTTATTACAACGTAAACTATGTAAAATATGTACAACTTATTTACTAAGAATAAGTTGATATAATAATCTTTATGTCATACATTATACAACACCAATATAAGTAAATTTTAGATAACTGAAGTTGATTTTAAAACTTTGAAGGTTTGATAATTAAAAGCTTATTGGATTATTACTTTGAATCGCACATCGGATGTTTTACTCCACTAAGTAAGAAATCGTACTCTTGGACTTGAGACATACTTAGTGTAAGACTTATAAACACCACTAAATTGCTTAAAATGAAATAGCTGAAGCTCAGTTCAAATTTGTTACTAAGCAATTCAATAACAAATAGCCTAATTTTTAAATCTACCCTAATTTCAATAGTTGCCATAGTATAACAAAATGCTACTTACTAACCAACGGAACTTAGTTTTTTTAGGGCACGTTATCCTATTGCACTTAGGTCCCTGTATTGATTTGTATACTGAGACCTAAACCTTGCATTTGTAAATTTAACCGTGCTACTGAGCCTGGATAAATATGAATCTTATTCATAAAATGTTTGATTTCCCATTGTTGATATTAAGGATTATAACTGAACTGTCACTTCTATAACAGATGCATCCTAAGAGGAACCCAATACTTTTCTACTCCCCGAATACAAGTTCAACCAGTTGATCAGTGTTACATTAAACTAAACAGACATCCTCGACTTAACTCCAACCCATCAATCAACTTTAATAAACACCTGTGATTGAATAAATCCTCAAATACAATTTGCTCAAGTGCATATATCGGAAAGAAAGAGAATAATCAATTTGCAGTCCTTAATAATAACATAGAGATACAACACCTATAAATGAAATCAAGTTTACTACAGTCTCAACAGAAACTGCTAATCTAGTCCCAATATACTGTATCACATTAGGACCATAATAATAAAGAAAACTATCATGATAGAATACAATTTATAATCTCATCTTACTTCTATCATTACGACAGCCGCAAATAAACTTGCTCCATCACGACTATTCATTGATCGATAGAGATAAAACTTTTTTGCGAAAAGTCTTTCCATCATTTTTTCTGTCTAATAGATAAAAGAGAAAATATTATTCGTATATTTGTTTAAGTTTAAGAAAATAGTAGCCAGTAATTACTAAAATGAAAAGTTTATGTCGTTCAGACAAGTAATGACTTAGAAGTCATCGTTAGCCAAGACTTAAAGACTACTGCACACTGCCGTGTAATAGCCACCAAAGGTTTTAGAACCTTATGATCAATACGTAGGGCCTTTAGTTATGTCGACGCTAAAACGTCTTTGATTTTGTATACAGGGGTTGTACGTCTCAAACTTGAGTACTGTATACAAGCGGCTATCCCCTGCCTAAGAAAAGACAGTGAGCTTCTGGAAAAAGGCTCGGAGAACAGCAGCTAAGCTGATTCCCGGAATAGCGAAGCTTGCGTATGATGCTCGACTGGCCAAGTTAAACCTTTTCCCGTTGTCATATCGTAGAAGTAGAGGCAACTTGATTACTGTTTTCAAATTGCTTAGTGCCAAATTTGCACCTGATATGCCTTCATTTTTCTTGTCTTTCAAAACAGAGAATTTACGAGGACACTCCCAAAACGTTCACATGCCCAGAACAAATAACTATCGACTTTCACATCGAATCATCAACGAGTGGAATTCATTACCTCAGCACGTGGTTTAGGCTCCATCCGTCGACTCTTTCAAAAGAAAGTTGGATCAACTGAGAGACCATCATTGCCAGGACTAACACAGGCCATCAAGCCTCCTGTCCTTTCCAAACTGAAACTGAAATAATCAATCATCATTTTAAGAGTTTTGGATATTAATTGTACGATATTGTGAATTGATGAACGTTTGATATGAATAACAATAGACTGAATTTTGTAGATCTAGATGTTAACTGTTCATGTGTCATACTGAAAGTTCAGTGACCAGGTATTTGTGAGGACATGAATGTATATCATTGAGAAGTTCCATACTAGAATGAAACATCAGTCTACAGACTGAATAAAAATAATGATTGATTTAGGAAATAGTTAAGGTGTCAATAGTTAGATTCTAATCAATCAACAAAGTCACATGTTTGTTTATAAAATCCTTAACAAATCTATCACATTTTTTTCGTGTTCTACTTCTTAAAAACAACAGTAAAATTGTAGTGAACTAGAACACAAGGGTGGATAGACGAATATATTTGAACACACAAATTACAGAGTAATTAATTTGCAAAATATCAATCGATAGTTTTTCTTTCGTTTCTATACCAATCATTTTCTGTTCTCGGTCTCTTTAGTTTAATCGTCTTAACATTGTGACACTAAGCACTTCCCTTTTGATCGATGATATATACTACATATATCTATCGACATCAGTAGCACACACCCTAAATACTCTTGCTATTCATGAAATGAAACTTAAACTTTGAATACAAACAAACTATGTCTTATACTTATTTTGATTATAGTTTTAACCTAATATTACAATTATAATTACTTAAAATATCGTTTCATTTCACCTAATAATATATCAGTCTATAAAGAATAATACTTGATTTGTGGATTGGTTGAAGTTAGACATTAACACAGTTGGATGCCAGCTCAGTAGTCTGACGGTTAAGCGCTGATAGGTCCTGAGTTTGAATCTCGTGGGGGAGCGGGATCGTGAATTCACACTACTGAGGAGTCGCATACTAGGACGAAACGCCTATTCAGTGCTTCCAGGTTTTCCATGATGATTTAGACTCTAGTGACTCATGATATCAATTATTGAAATTACTAAAATCTCCACAAAACCCCTATTGTTAATCATCATATTTGAATTTATTATAAAACTTCATTAAAACATTGAAAGATTAAATGATTAACATACTGTTTCCGGATTTTTTAACACAATAGTTATCATAACTATATGGACAATTATACAAACTGTTAAAGTAACTTCATACTGAAAAAGAAATTCAATGAAAACTTGTTTTATACAAGAAAAAATTTGTATTTTATGGAAATACTAAAATTATGTGCAAGTTTTTCATATAAATAAATGGAGAAAACATGATACTATAGACAATAGTGTAGCCATAGCAACTATTCTACAACCAATTTTGATTATGGTTAATTTTGGTTAAGACCTTTTATTAACTTACTTAATAGACAATGTTATTTGAATAGTACCAATCTGCATATTTCTTTGTACTGTTATGATCATTAGAGCATATGACGGACTATAGCTTAAAAAATGTTGATTGCTTAAATATCACTCGACCATTCATCCACCTTCCCATGTATGTGTATACTTAAATCTTTTTAAAAAGTTTTGCTTTGCCTTACTGTGACCTTATGCAGTTTGACTAAAAATTTGCTTATTTATTTCGTCGTATATACATATTTGACTGTTTGCATCAAATACGCTTGATGTGCTCATAGCTTTGTGTTCTGTGCTATCTGCTATGGAACTGTAGTTACCGTTTCTCATCGTCATCTGATTTCAAACACCGTTGAAATTTATATGAGAACGGTTACAAGGGTGATTGATTAGCCAAGAAAAGCCACTACATATCAGTGAATTATATTAAAACTTATCTTTAACAATATGACAAGCTTTATAATAGATGAGGCTTTACAACATATCTTTTTTAAGCAAATATGGATAGTGGCTAGCAGTGGAATACATGACACGCGTTTCTTCGTATTTCGAACTCTTCAGCTGGATGTACCTGCATCCCAGAGTTGACGTTCACTCCGGGACTCGAACCAAATATTGTTTGCTTCAAACGCCATTGCGTTATCCACTCAGCTACTGAGTCCTGATGGCCACTTGCTTGTGCAACCGTATTCGTTTATCATTATTGCAATAATATTTAAATATTTTGCACTTAATTATTTCCATATTTTTATGGATACTCTAGATCAGGAGTCATCCAATAATTAGAAGTATAAGTAAAAATGTTTGATCTGTTACTATGGATTTAAAGATGATATTCAAAAACAACTTTATTTGATCCGAATATATGTTAAAGTTCATGTGAACCTACCATAAGAAAAAATGTACTGCTTCGATTAAAAGCGATTAGTGCTCCAAAGAAATAAATACAAGCAAATACAAGTGATATCGCCATCAATGGTAAAATTACCGGACCTTAAATAAATCAAGCAAAAAACACCATGAATGTATAGTGATGTGACAGAGAAAAAGAAGACTTGACAAACTACGAAAGCTATTTTTGGGGATGTTTTTTCATTTAATTCACAACTTGTAAAACAATAACATTTATTTCTGTCCGTAGTCTATTCTACAGATCATGTACTTTGGTTTGACGTATGATTCATTAACATAGCCATTTTTTATCCTAAAGCTATTGTAATTTAAACGTATTATTTTGTACTCTATTTCCTATTCTAATCTCCAGTTTTGGACATAATTGTATTTTCCTAATTATTATCAGTTGTGGTCAGTTTAGTCATCTATTTATTCATGTATCTTTTTACACCGATCTGAAATCGGGAGTTAGATTGGGATCGGGAATAAATCGAGTAGTGTTCCGGTTGAATTATCTCACTCGCGTGCTTGTCAGACAGTCAAGTAATACAATCGTTTTCGTCTATCTAACCCACTCCGAGCTCATGCATACTAGCTTCAAGGTTAAGCCGGACAACCTATCGCGTCAAGGTCTTAATCTAGCTTAGACAAGTATCCTAGTTGTGAAAGGTAACTTAAAACGTTTTTCATAACTAGCACCTGTTATTTTTCTATATATAAATCAGCCATCTGACTAATAAATTTCTATTTTCATACTACACATCATGGAAAGATTTTAGCAAGACAATTACTGAGAACCAGGAAGCTATGGACAGTTATTTCGTGCTAATATGGAACCCCTCAATAGGTAGAAAATATGTAATTTATCTAACTTCAATGGAATCACAATTGTGTGGGAACATCTCCCATTATTTTTGTTAGATAATTGTCTCTCACTTAACACAGTTGAACTCAACTGGTCTCACGAAAACCCACTGAGTTGTCTTTTAAAAGTAGTACCTGTATATGATTACTGTTACTGGCTTAGTGGTGAGAGAATCTAGCGCTTGTTGCGAGACTTAAAAGTCCTTAGTTCAATCTCCTAAGTTGAAATAACGTCCTACAGTTGAAGAGTCCCATTCTAGTACAAAACAGCTGTCCATAGTTCTCTGACTAAGATTAGTTAGTGACATAATCTTTAGAAACTAAACAATCTCTAAATGCATTCTTAGACATTTTAAGCTTATCTGTTATTAGACAGAACAAGAAACGAATACAACGCTAACCACAAACCCATCTATACTATAAATACTTTATTATTTCTGCTCAAAAGAACAAATACACAAGAACTTATTTAGAACACATATCATACGACTAAAATAATTGTTTCTGCATTATGTAAGAATATCTTCTCTATTAGGTTCATGAATATTTACATGAATACATTTTACGATGGAAGTAAATTATCGGTATAGGGTTGTGAAGATAATAATTTTCAGAGTCCTAGTGAACAGTGGAGTTCAATTGAGTCGGTTGCGAGGTGAAGTGTTCGCTCACGAAACCAAAGGTCCTGATTCCGAGTCCTGTGAGAGGTGTCGTTGGTCTACACCATTGAGGAGTTTTAGATTAAGATGAGATGGCCGTCCAGTACTCCCAGATTTTCAATAATGATCTAACATTGATCGGTTCATGATCTCAATTAGAAATAAATTAATCATTTGTAAACTTATATATTTAGCGCACAGAATCCCTTACTGTGCATCAGTCTATCTGTTAATAAATAACCTCAGATTGATGCACACTAGTTATTTGAATCATATTTAACTTATTCATAAACTTATCAAACATTAAAATGTTTCTAACCTTACCAGATTGCTTAGAACTACTGTCATTTTTTGTCCTAAAAAGTTGCAGAGAACTCGTTCATGTTAAATTGGTTTTAATTAAACAAGCATTTAGATAAAAATGTGCCTACAACAGCCTACAACACAGCCCTATAATGTAAAAGATAAAAGAAACTATCATAATGGTTGGTGAATTCATCATGTTTTTTCTAAGTTACGTAAATTAGCATCAGATATACAATTAAAATGGTTGATATATAGTAACACTCCTACTATTGATTTCGATTATGGTTAATTTTGTCAAGCTCTTTATATTAACTTGTTTAACAATGTCATTCAAACAGTAGTAATCCGTCTATTTCATTGTATTATTATGATCATTATCATGTCTGTATAAGCATGTACGATCAATCACATGTGACAGCCTACGTACATATCGCTCTAACTTAAATACCAGTCGCTTAAATATCTCTTTATGAATCATTCTCTGTCCTATGTATATATGTACTCGAATCCTATTAATAACCTTCGCCTTGCTTAATTGTGCCTTGATTTGATTTGACTATAAATACGCCTCTGTATTTGCTCACTTATACACATTAGCCTCTCTGCTCCAAAGTCGCTGGTAACTTTGTTGTCTGTGCTATCCAATAATAAACTGTAGTCGACGCTTTTTATTCCCTTCTGAATTCAAACATCATTCGAATTTGTGTAATAATGGTTATCAAGGTGACTGATTAACGAAGCTTAGCCACTACACATTTTATTTCAACACATAGATATTGGTACAAAGAGGCACCAAATACATATGCGCCACACAAATCTCATTCGATATGTGTGAGGGCTGTGATACTGCACGGGTCCCCAGACCGAAGCAGGTGGTTTTCTTAGGGGGCCACTCCCCGAGCCTTCGACCTGAGGGTCTGATCCACAAGGCAGTAGAGCATCGTAAGGAGATGCAGTCCCATGGAAGCCGGTGACCAACGATTGGTCAATACGCCATTTGTTCCTTGAGGATCCTGGAGCCCATGTGCACCATTGGTTTGGAATCCGTTTAAAGCGCCGGACATTCGCTTTTCGTGCTCTCATTTTCGTAAACAACACCCCCGCCACGAGAAGGCAGTGAGTAGGACTTCCCTGGCAGAGACTATATACGCGTGGCCCTGTGAGAGGATTTCAAGAGGGAGAGCGGACTCTCCCAACTCTCGGCCGTACCAGGGCATTTGGGGTTATTATCATTATCAGAAGGGGTTTTGTGGATGTGCACTATTGAGGATTCCCTTACTAGAAGGAAACGGTCATCCGTTGCTTCCAGGATTTCCATTGTGGTCTAGCTTCAATTGACTCATGATCTTAACTATTGAAATTATTATAAACTTACGTGTAAACGTTCGTACAACACTATTCACTCCATCAGTTACGGTTCGATTATTGACACCATCTATTCGTAATTTATTCAATGTTGGCTCAACAATTTTAACAGAGAGTTTCGTCCAAAATGTAATGACGAAAAAGACAAATGCTAATAATAAAATGGACTGAAAAATAAAATTGAAAGTTAGTTTAAATTTATAGAGTGATAAAAAGCATGTCCAACGATATATTGTCATTAATTTTGATGGAGTTTTGTTTTCTGAGCTGGACAGTTTGGTCGTGGAGCTTTTATTGTTCTTCTAAATGACATCATCAGCACAAATTTCAGATAGAAGTGAAGTGTTCGAATTTCTCCACATGTGGTCCACAGCTTGTCTGGTGATGTCTTTTAGAAGAACGATGAAAGTTCCGAGACCAAACTATCCAGCTCAGAGAACAAAACTCCAATAAAGTCATCCACCTGAGCTACAAATCTTCCCCAACATGCTGTCATTAAGGAAGGTGACGGATGATAGTTTTGCTATACTGTTAAATTTCTAAGTGTAAAAATGTATTATGCTAATAGAAGCCAACTTGGTTACTTAAATTTTATTTGCTTGCTAGGAAACCTGAACTTCCTGGATTTGATCCATATCAGGAACATTTATGTGTGAACTGCTGATTAGCGTAAACTATCTTTAAAATGAACAATCCTAATAAAATGTTAAATATAGTAGCTGTTTATTTAACAATCTATGAATGTGTCCTACATTTTATCGTGAATGTCATCTTATCATTAATTTTATTATCAGTATGTGGAGTTTGTTGAGTTTAAATTGATACTACGGATTCGAGTCCCGTGTACGGGATCGTGAATGTTCACTTTTGAGGAGTCCCATACTAGTACGAAACGGTCGTCCAGTACTTTCAGGTTTGCAATGGTGATCTAACATGAATCCGCTTATGATCTCAATCAAAACTCAACAATCTCCACAATCCCATACTGATGGCTAAATGTGTTTATAAATTGTGAGTGTTTGAATATAACTCATAATATTTCTTCATACATACAATACAAATTGTGATTTAACATTGATCCATAAATGATATCAATCTAAACTAGTACTTTTGATCATGGTTATCGTATTATTTAACAAACAAGATTGGTGATACTATAATTTATGAACGACCTTTGAGCAAAGTAAAGTGACGTTGAGAATGTTTACAAAATTATTACAGGTTAAAATAGGGTTATAAATTAATTTAATGAGTTAGGATTCGGATTTACAGTTGGATCTTAAAGTTATAAATTAGTGTTAGAATTTTCATCACGAACTGACATCATCTATAACATCAAAATGCTATTTAGCCATATGGATGAATGAATTTCATGCCAAAATCCAAGACTCGTTATCTTAAATCGGAGTATTTCGTCTATATCTCATAGACTTACGAGAAAGTCAATCTGATAAAATGAACTGAATTTAATCACTGAACTATCTAATTCGTTTTTGTAGAGCACAACAATCAAGTTACATTAAAAACATAAATTACACTAATCATTTTATTTCTTTGATTATCATGTGATTCATTGATCAGCACTCAATTACTATCCACACGTATGATTAAATTTAATATTTGGAAAGTAGATTTCCTTCCATTTTAATGGTTGAATTCATGATTCGATGTAAGATGGACTACCATTGAAAACCTGGAAGCATCGGATGACCGTTTTGTTCCAGTGTGGGGCTCCTCAACAGTGCGCATCCACGACTCCGAATGCAGGACTCGAACCCAACAGTTTCAGTTTCGTGCGTGAGCGCTTAACCACTTAGCTGGTATCCACCTTTAATCGTTCCATGATCTTGCACAGCCTTTCATTTTTATTCTTTACATTTGATGAGATTTAATTTATTCAGTTGTTAGTATATTTCATTGACTTATGTCACATTGTATACAATTCCATTTATGTTTGAGCCATCATCTTATCGCCTTTTTTTAACAACAAACAATTGTTTGAAAAGGTAATGAATTAATTGTTTACTGATATTTGTTAGTCTTATGACTTTACTTTGACAGATAAAAAGCTCATTTAGATGGTGGTTGAAGGTAGTCAACAGGAAACCCTGGACTCGGATTTCGTGCTACTTGGCACTCGTCAGCAAGGTGTACCTGTAATCTTGAGAGAACTGGTGCTCCCTGTCGGATTAGATCTCGTGTCACTCAGCTCGGATAGCTCAGTGGTAACGTCTCTGACTGTGAAGCTGGGTGACACGAGATCGAATCCGACAGGGAGCACCAGTTCCCTCAAGATTACAAGTACACCTTGCTGACCAGTGCCAAGTAGCACGAAATCCGGGTCCAGGGTTTCCTGTTGACTACCTCCAACCACCATCTAAAATCTCAATACATAGTGCCCGCAGTGTCGAGTCACCCAGACTGGTGGTCACAATGCAATATGATCGATAGCATTCGATCTTCACTAATAAGGACTAGACAAGCATGACATTTGTCACCACCCAGTGATCAATCAATTGTGAAAAAGCTCATTTCTAAAGAGCACCATTTTGAAAATAATATGAAAATGTATGAGTAATCTGCATAAGAATGTGAATTGCTTATTTGTGAAATTTTGAGAGCTTATGTGGTCACTTTGAACAACACATGAAAACGATTGATAAGTTATAATAGGAAATTTCAAGAGTTATCGACTAACAGTTATTTCACAAATGTATGAAAATTTTTCCGCCTTACAGGTTAAGTAATACACTTTATAGCATATCAGTAATGCATAAAAATAGATTATCGTTTCGTCCATCCACGTGGATGCTAAACGTTATAGAGGGCCTTCGTCACCAGGTAATATTATAATGAATGAGAAAGGCAGTGATAACTTCTTATATGTTTTGTTGATGATAATTTCCAATTCATGAGCCTGATATCATCATAATAGTAAAATAAATCTGGTTAAATACCTTCTCTAAAGACTTTAAATTATGCACTCCGTTAAACACCATCAAGAGCGCACTACAATTTACTCAAGAACTGTTGAGTAAACATACGTCAAAACTTAATAACGAAAAAAAAGTCACTACCGCGACATAAAAATTGTTGTGTCTAAAACTACTGCGTAAAACGAACATTGTTAGCGAAAAATCTTTGCTTCGTCTACGAAATACACTGAGAAGGCAATTCATTAGTCAATCAACTATGATTATCAAGTTTAGAATGTGGCTAAACATAAGCAAGAAAAGAAAAAGTAAGAAGTCTTTTCTGAGCTCACTAAGATACGGCCACCTTCAATTCTTGAGTATTACTTCTTGACTAATATATCACCAAACCGTGGATCAGTTGTTGGAATTAAGTCATTTCACCTAATGAAAGCATAACAGTAAGATATATTGTTATGCTGAATTATTATGAAAATCTCACTTGAAAAATCTTTCTATACAATATATAGCCTAACTATGAGAGTTCATGCAAAACTTGATCTGGATGACAGTTCAGTTATATTTAAACTAACATAATTACTGTGTGAACAAATAGTTTACATCAAAAAATGATTATTCACTTACTAAACAGATTAGATTTAAAATATGAAATACACTGCGTACTGTAGAATGCATTTCTAAAATTTAATTAAATACAAAATATGTAATTAATATTAGTGAACTCTAAGAAAAATTGACAATCAATCAGTCAGTCAGTCAACTACAACGTAGGATCAGTCACATATATGCAATGTTCCAAGTTGTCATAAATCATTAACACAACAAGATGATCACCAAAGTCATAGAAGTAGTTACTTCAATGGTAGTAATATGTAAAAGAAAAATTGCATATGAGGATATAATACGGGAAGAAAGAATTAGTTCGTAGAAAGAAAAGTATATAGTAATTCCAATCTCACAGTTTAAGAAAAGACAAAGAGCGTATACACCTACTCCAATGAGATCGATTCTGAACCATGTCACCAACATCCTCTAACCATCGATTACGATAGTCACGCACACCCCAACCAAGTGGTCTGTATCTACCAACATGGCTAAGACTAGAGGTTAGTGGCCTTAAGCACTGATGCCACTTATCGATTGGGTTGATCAGACTTCCAAGATAAGTGAAGTTGTTGTGGTGTTCGACTACTTCAGTCACTGTCCTTTATACAGCTATTGCAGCAGGTCCATCCTGATGTAACAATTTGCATTTAGAAAAAGGAAAATGCATCCCAAACATCCTGACATTGCTGCTCAGAGCTACCAAAATACTCTACATTTTATCAGCGTTTTCACCAAACAAAACTATGTTACTTGAGTATTCTAAGTCGAATAGTAGATCACCTGGAAGGAGATCGATTCCCGAAAATTCAGTCGACGAGAACGTTATTTTCAGCAGTTGGTTTTACAGAAAATATCCTTAGATAGTTAATATTACATCACAAGCAGTCAAGTAAATTTGATGTTATGTTTAAGATGTGAAACAAAAGTGGGAAATCAACTTGTGAGTTCATGAACAAACATAAACTTTAATGGCTCTCAATAACTAATACATGTTACAGACATTCTTCACTTGACAAGAAAAGGTGGCTATCATAATCATCAGTGATTTCAAGGTATACAGTCACTGACTTTCACTTTCAATTATATCAAATGGCCTGAACTTTCTTATTAAGGTCTGTTAAATAATCGTTATCTATGAATGCAAATCTGAGTTTAAATAGCTTGAAATCGATTACTCTGGTGAAATCAAGTTCACTTTTACATCTTTTATTATATAAGGTTTGTTATACATCAATGTCATGATTTTTCCAACAGTATATTTTATTTCACTGGTTGAAATCATGAGTTAATTGAAGCTAGACCACCATGGAAAACCTGGAAATCGTTTCGTCCTAGTATGGGACCCCTCGGCAATGCGCATCAACGATCCCCCCCACTCACGAGATTCGAACCCAAGACCTATCAGTCTCGCTCCAGGAGCTTAACCAACTAGACCACTGAGCCGGCATCCAATGGTGTTAATGTCTGTGTTAATGTTGTGTTTTATGCCGTTACATATGTAATCATTTTGATTCTTTTAACTCCGTCTTTTTTTTTAAATGTCTTGTCCATAATATTCATGTGAAGAGCTACAATCTAGCCATTACTTACATGTGTTAATTTCTATGTTGCTTAGGATCGATTGAATGAATGGATTTAAAAGTTAGAACCTTCGACTAACTCTGCTGAAATTAGGTCATCGTTATATCTGGTCACCGGTTTTATCATGTTATACATTGTCATTTGATATCAAAAGATAACTCATTCTTGTTCAAATCAGTAATAAATGTTCTTTTTTACTGATATTATTCACTAAACTGAATAAAGCTTTTAAGTTTATCCATCATATTCCATTAAATTTGCCACATGGTTAATGAGTTCATCTTTTCCACATTACTGAAGCCATTGCAATCTATGTTCACAAGCCTAAGCTTTACATCTAAAAGAAGTTTGTACAACCATTCTTGCTACCTCGGCCATCGGTATAGAGGGGTTTGTAGCAGAAATTTGATAAACTGTTTTCGTATTTCTTTCATTTTTGTTTTTTTTTGTATTTTACTTATTCTCGTCATTCGTCTCTTGATTCTTACATAACTACTATACTACTGACAACTCATCAAAATATTCTGTTAGTTCCTTCACTTTTTTAAATATTATGTAACGTAGCAACTGCTTGATTCTCCAATAATTACTTTGATTATTGTCAGAAGGGGATTTGTGGAGATTGTAGTAATTTCAATAGTTGACATCATGAGTCAGTTGAAGCTAGATCACCAAGGAAAACCAGGAAGCACTGGACAGCCGTTTCGTCTGATTGTATGAATATTAAATTGCAGTGAGCATCTACGATTATGATTAATCCTCTTCCAATTTAAAGTCGATATGTCATTATATAATTATTACTTAACGTACCCACTCGATGAGTATTATTTCATTATTGTAAGTCATACTTATATATATTAGTGTAGAGTCATAATGAAAATCTAATTGAAAAGGAATTTCCCCATTCTATTCGTTCCTTCTCTATTAACACCGTTGGATACCGGCCGGCTCAGTGGTCTAACGGTTAAGCGCTTTCGCTCGAGACTGATAGGTCCTGAGTTCGAATCTCGCACGAGGCAAGATCGTGGATGCGCGTTGCTGAGGAGTTACATGCTAGAACGAAACGGCCGTTTAGTGCTTCTAAGTTTTCCATAATGGTCTAACTTCAATTGAATCATGATTCCAACTAGTGAAATGAAGTATATTATGCATTATGTTAATATGTTTCATTACATAACTTACATTTATTGACAAAGTTCCACCGATTATAAGGACACCAATTTGTCATTTACATTTTCTCATAGAAAATTCTAAAAGTCATTTAATTCCATTCACAGTAAAAGCACTAATAAATTAAATCAAATGTCAATAATGTAATAAGAAGACGAAGATTATCAGAGCTATGTGATGATATATTAGCGCAATACATTTCAAACAATCTGATTACACATATACTTGATAAAAACATTTATATACCAAAAATAAAAGGTTAACTAGACTGGAAATGGGATAAGAGGAGACAAGGATAATAATAATAATGAGTAATAATAATAATGTGAACATAATTCGAAACCTAATTACTCTGGATTATAAGCCAATATTACCAGAGTAGGTTTAAGGTGAAAATTAATAAACATATAAGGCACTTTTTGGATATAAATCAATTAAAGTAATGAAGTTTGTTCGCATTTAAACTTGTAACATCCAGAAATCAATGGTTTTCTCATCCTTATAGTTCGATTGATTAATTTGAAGCGAGATGAAGAATGAAAGTTTGGGTAGAATAATAAGAGTGCTTGTTGAAGATGCAGTTAGTAGATGGCTTAACATTTTATTAACCATAATCGCTGTCTTTCACGTTATCAACAAGTGTCCCTGAAACATTCTGTCCAACCTTATTGATTCACAATTGATATGAGTTTCTAAATTATGTTGTTGTTGTTTTTTATAATTTAGTCAAAATAGTCTTCAGTTTACAGTAACATTGATACTCGGTATACTGTGAACTGTTAACTAAAGCTTTTAAAGTAGTAGTAACTTTGACGTATGTTTTGTTTGGTGTATTCGTACCTATTCATGCTTACTTAACACTTCATGAGTAAGTTGTAATGCGCTTTTGTCGGTGTTAACGGAGTGCATAATATAAAGTCTTTGAAGAAAGTATTTAACCTGATTCTTTTTACCATAGGAAATACCAGAATAGTTTCAATGAAAGCAAAACAACCTTTGATAATTACTAACAAAGTTTGAGTTGCTACATAATATCGTCAATATTGAAAAGCATATTCTATGATACATTTCAACAACTCATTTTTATACCGCCTATTGTTCGAAACATGGATCAATCAATAAGTTTCCACAGTGTATTAAATCTAAATTAAGATATAGTTAAGATTGATCCTTACGCTATATATTACTTAATTATATCTTCGGTTTTATAGATAATGGGGAGTAGTTAAATCTGATGTTTTGTATATGTCACAAATTCCTCACTAGTGACTAGCTTCGTGAGGGGATTCTCGGAGTTCTAGTGAGAAACCGTGACCAGTGGAGCTAATCCATTTCGAGTAGAGACAGGTATCTACCTCAGTACAACGGAAGTTGGTCGTGCAATTTCGTGGATTGGATGATGTTAGACACTATCACCATTGGATACCGGCTTAGTGGTCCAGTTGGTTAAGCATTCGCGCGTGAGACCGAAAGCCCTGGGTTCGGATCCCGCGAGCGGGATCGTGGATGCGCACTGCTGAGGAGTCCCACAATAGGATGAAACGGCCGTCCAGTGCTTCTAGGTTTTCAATCAATCAATCGGTTCATGATCTCAATCAGAAAGTTAGAAAATCGTTGTATAGTTTAATGAAGCATTGAACATCTGTATTATTTTAAAACTTACTACTACTGATAATAATCATAAAAGCAACGCTCATTGAAATAGTTAGTAGCTATCAAGACCCACTAGTTCATTGATTGATATCATATTCATTTAAAGTGAATGTTAATAAGATTGAGTCTTAATGTGGACATTACCATTGAGATGCAGGTACATCCAAATAAAGAGTTACAAACAAGGTAAAACGTTTGTCCAGTACTAATTACGATCTAACTTTTCTATGAAATCCATTTTACTCTTAGTTTAGAAATTTATAAAAGTGTTATATTCTTGACTTAATATAGTGGAAAATGTGAATGATTGATCTGTAAATGAATGAATGTGTAATATTCATGACTCATAAACCATATTTCAGAGATTGAGTACCTTTCTTCCATTATCTGTCAACTTTTGTGAAGCGATTCAAGCATCATAAATTAAAACTATAAACAACTGTATAGTTCTGTAAAGATACATCAATTGATTATTGATGATAAATAATAATCTCTGTTTGATCCAGATCTTATATCAGATGTTATTTATCAAATAAAAGCTTTAAAACAATCTTACTAGAATTGAATTTCCAGTAAAATTCAAAACTTATCAGTCAGTCAGTCAGTAACAACGTAGAACTTTGCATATATGTACATCAGTTCGAGTTGACATACCACATTAGCAC